TACTTGAAATTAATTCATGCTAATTCGATTGTGCTTGTAATAAACCATGTAATAAGCTGTTCGAATTACAAAAGAAGATTGATTTTTTATCTCAAACTGTTTCAAGATTCACACAAGGGCAAGCCAATCTTGATGTTTTACTTGGGTCTCAAAACTTAATTTTTGACAAATCTGGAATAGGATTTAAATCTAGATCCAGGAAAACAAACACAAATAGGAAATCATACTCTGTAATCAAATGTTTCTACTGCATGAAGAAAGGTCACTCGGTCAAATATTGTAGAATAAAAAAGTATGTTATTCCTAAAGGAAGAATGAAATGGGTTCCAAAAATTAATTCATTTCAAATAACCTGATCAGGACTCAAGTAACTATAAAGGGTACCGAAAAGATTCTTAATTTGTTTTGCAGGAACAAGTCTGGGAATCCTTGAAGTTGAGAGTTGCGAATCAGGTTCTGATTATTTAAACTGATTGTTTTAATTGATATAAAGCAATATTAATCGATTAAAATAACTTATAGAGGTATAAGAAAATCTGTCCGTACCATTTTAATCGATTAAAATGTTCTTATAATGTTCACAGGATTTGAGCTTAGCTGTTTTAATCGATTAAAATGAATTTATATCAACTAAAATCACTAAGGTATCAAATTTAATCCATTCATTTTTCGTTTTAATCGATTTAAATTATGGTATCATTTTATTAATTTCATTCGGTACCAAACTAATCGATTCTTTTATGAAATAATCGATTAATTCACTGTAGCTGTTTCAAACCTGATAGTAAAAATCAAATTAAGAGATAATTAGTTGATTAATCGATTAATTAGGTTCTGAAAACAAGCTGTATAGCATCCAATTAAAGATTGATAGGCGAATTGAAATCAAAAACCCAGATTCTATGATAATCCAAAAATCTGCATAATTCCTTAAAATTCCTTTGACCGAGTCAAAACAGATTCCCAAGAACCAAATTCCAGTTCTTGATAACCTCTGCAACCAAATTCCAACTGCAGAGAAATCAGTACCCAAATTTCAAGCACCATACAGTACAAGACCCGGATAAACAAATAAACTCTGAGAACATGAGTTTCATCCAGAAGCACTCCATTGTGATTAGTTCTGGCAACAGGAAGATCCGCAAATTTCGAAGAAGAGAAACCAACGTGGTTAAACCAAACTTATCGATCAATATCTCAAAATCTGTTTTGAGAAATTTATAAACGTGAGAAACTCATAATTTAATATTTTAAAATTTTAAATTAAACGTGATATTATATTTGTTTGTGTGATTAGTTTGATTTTATTCATCAGAGTTTTATTCTTGATATTATCCTTCTTTTAAAATATCTAATACTAGTTACGGTTTCGCTTATAAAAAACATTTTCATTTGAGAAAAAGCTTGTTGTGAATTAAAATATAAATTGAAATCTCATATAAATAATAAAATAAAGTTGGTTGATAAAGACATATAATCTAAAATAGTGACATTTGAAGGTATTGTTATGTTTTTTTTTATAATTGACCGTATTTTATTTTTTTGGAATAATTAAAAGTTTAGAAATTTATTAAAAATTCAATTATATAAAAATGTAATTTTGTTATTAGTTATATTAACAAATTTGGATGTATTATTTTTCTGTAATGTTTGTATTTAAATAATAAAATTATTTTATTCTTTTACTTGTATGTAATTATATAAATTTGTAAATAATTGTTAATATGATATAAGAGTTTATTTATATTTGATTCACTAAGTATTATTGTACCTACCAAGAATTTTTTTTGTTATGGTTAATATTTTGATGAAAACTTTGACCTAAGTAATTCTTAGTTATTTTTGTACCATTATTTATGAAAGTGTAGTGGTTGAGGAAGATTAATATGAAGAATGTGTATAGAAGAGTTTTTATGAGAATATAACATGGTAAATAAAGTAAAAATCAAGGTATAATATGATGACTTAGTATAGTTCAAAGATTCTTACTAGTTTTGTATAAGAAGTTATTTGAAGGAAGGAGAGTTGAACGATGATGATTTTTTAGTTTCTAATATGTGATAGAAGTGATCTAAAATGGGTTTGCATATCCTAGCAAGAATGCAACTAAGGAAAAAGAAAAAAAAAAAAAAAAAACCTTCAACACAACAACAATAGCAATACACAATTTTTTATCTATCAGTGTATTAATTCACAAATATTCAATAAGATTTTCAAGACATGCACTTCAAAGAAAACATGGAAGATTCTAGTAAAGATAGAGGTAGTATGGACTTAAAATGGAGGAGAGATAATTAATTGCAGATTACTTTACATAGAGAATGTTACGAGGATATGAAGGAAGAATATTTCATATCAATAAGTGGTAGACAATATTTTGATAATATGGCCAATTTAATCATCATATTAACAAATTTGTCTCAAAGAAGTATTTTAAAATTTTGAATGAAAATGTTGAAGCATCAATATTTTGCAACCTTAGGTTTGGCATTTGAAGACCTTCACTTACTTACAAACCATTAATGGATGTTAAGGAGCACATGCCAAATGAATTTATAATTCTGTGAAAGAGACAGATTAGTTCATTGAGTTACACCACTTTACACAACCAAAAGCAGGGGTACATTTGAGAAAATACATACAATTTTGTTAAAGATGATGATGATGATATGCATGTTTAAAAAGAAACTACTAAGTTTCTCGTGGGAAGAAACAATTTCAACTACTGGGTACATATTGAATAAATATCTCATTATGAGATTAAAAGACATTACACCAAAGAAAAATGAAATTAACCTAAATCAAACGTTACTCGTTTGAAATGTTTGGTTCAATTTGTTACGAACATATTTATAATCAAATAAAGAGGAAACTAGATTGTGAAGACACTGCACAGTTATATTATTATTAATTATATTAATTATTATAATATAAAATTAGAATTTATCTTAGATAATATAATTTGTATGTAAATTTATACAGAAGTAGTGTTACCTAACACAACTTCTTTGTTTAAAAAATAAAAAAAATTAAATTATCTTATAAGATACGATCTATTTGTGTAGAGTCATATTTGACGGCATGACTTATTTAAATTTGTAATTTTTTAAAAATTTATTTATTTTGATAAATTTGAAAAAAAATTGTCCCTGTTCACTAAAAAACCAACTTATGAAAAAAATGAATTTTGTGGATAAGTGAAAATTGATTATAGTGAAGTTTATGCAAAGGAGCTACGGTTTTCTCTAAATAGTAAAACTAATATAAAAAGAAGTTCGTTTATTCAATCACATGTATTTAAAGTTATGGATAAAGAAAATAAGGTATACAAATAAAAAATAAAAAAAACACTTTTATGGACTTATATAGACTTTAAGAACATGAAACAAGAGAATTCATAGTTTCTTATATCATATTGAATTTACTAAATGCAACTCAAGAATTTATATGAAATGTTAGAAAGACAATGTAAAATCTAGATATGTTTATATGTTTTATGATCTTTTGGTTATTAACAATAGTGAATAAACAATTATTGATTTTAAATGTCAAATGATAAATGAGTTTAAGATGAGTTATTTTAGACTTCTTTTTTATTTTTCTAGGAATTGAATCCAAAATGACTCAATACAACATAATAATGCATTTTTCCAAGTATGCATAGAGTTGTTAAAACACTTAATATACAATAAAACAATCTAACAAGAACACTAATAGGTGAAAAACTTGTTGGTCGTACTCACTATAAAAAAGAGAAAGTTTGGTTTTTAAGGGACTTGTACATCAGTGTTAAGCTAACAAGAAGACTCGTAAGAATAAAGATAATTTCACTTGTTAACGATAAAGACAGTTAAGAGACATTTGTAAGTGATACTCAATTTTAGAATTCTATTTTTAAAAAATAAGATTGATTTGATACTTTGAGACTAATATAAAGATAAAAATGCTAAAAAAAACTTTGTAGAATACATTTTTTTTACAAAGGAAATCTAGTTTCTTGATTTTTTACATGAGAACTAGTGATTGATTTATGAGGTTGAGTATATTATAGAATGAAAAATTAAAGTAAAGAAAAATTTAGATGTTTAAAGAGACTTTATTAATTTTGTTTTTAAGTAAATGCATCTTTGAATTAAGAAGAGTGTTAGAATAATTTAAAGTTTAAGATATTATTAAAAACTAAAATTAATTAATCTATAAAATATCATATGTGATTCACTATATAAGCTAGTCCAAATATATATATATATATATATATATATATATATATATATATATATATATATATATATATATATATATATATATATATATATATATATATATACCCCTAAAAAAATTTTCCCACCTCTTAAAATACCTTATCCAAATATACTCGTTCAATCACAACCATCCATAGTCAATATTCTGACCGTGAAACAATCTTCAAAGCTGTCACATTGTTTTTCCCAATCTCCAGTCATTGCATACCACCCAAGCATATACTTAATGTATTATGACACTTTATTATTACCTAGTAAAAATTGACCCCTAAAAAATGGGTGGAAAAAATTCAACATCCAAGAGGAAGAAAAGGTCAATGATAAAAATAAAAAAAGTCAAAGCTGTTAACCATCATATTTGACCATAAATTTGTTTTGAATTGAACATACACGGAACCACTTACAAATTTTCCATGAACCATTGTTTTAAAAATAAACTCACTTTATAGAGCACACACAGACATAACTAAGTATTTTTGCCTCCTCATATACCGTTTAAACCTATACATGATCCCTATTATTTCCAAAATGACAAAAATCATAGACAGCAACCAAGTTCTTCAAAATGCAGGGCAAGAGCTACACCAATAAGAAAATTTCTACCAGAGTGAACTAGAAGATATAAGATATGATAATCAATGAACAGTACACTACAAGGTAAAAACACATATATAAAAACTTAACATTTTTTTACGGATTTAAGTTCTATCATGTTCCACTATATTTCCAGACTGTCTCTTATTTCTTCATAAGAAGAACAACTGTGTGAGCCGCTATACTCCTGTTCTCTCCAAGGCTGTCTACCTTTTCATGAGTTTTTGCTTTGATATTTACGACAGAAGAGTCCACTCCAAGCAGTGCAGATAAGTTGGCTTTGATAGTATCCTTGTGTGGGCTTAGTTTTGGCCTCTGAAGTATCAATGTAGCATCTAAATTTCCAATCTCATAACCAGCCTCATGCATAAGTCTAACCTGTAAAATGCCACAACAGAGATTAGAAGTTGCAAACAAAATTTCGGGCAGTTGGACAACTTTCTTCAATCATATTTCTAGGAAAAAAGAAAACTTATAAGAACCAAATATGATTTCCCGTGTACAGCGAATCAGTCATCATATATAAATCAAATCAAATAACATGTAGTAATCAAATTGTGAATCATAAATCAAATTGAATCATAGGATTCTGAGATTCAATGAAAAATAATGAAAAGCTATAACTGAATTGTGAACTTTTATTTTCGAATAATGAAACAGCCAAATAGACTGTGCACATATTTGGTTTGATGTCAGATCAAATCAAACGTTTATTTTTCACATCCGAAATGTGGATTTGAGGCTTGATATGTCCAACCAAACATGCAGTGCATATCATAAGAAAGTGACGATGTGAGATTTCAGAAAGAAAATGAAGATGATCAAGAACAGAGTGATCAAAAGTGCTCCTTCATTTCCTTATCAATTAACAATTTGAGGTTATCTAACTGTCAAATTTATCAAAATTTTCAATTTCTTTGATGAGAATTGGAGAAAAAAAGATAAAAATGAAAAATAATAAATCATTCAAGTGGGCAATTCATATAGAAGACACAGAATTGAACCAATTCATCCCTATATTTTATGAATCAAAGCCATATGTGATTAATGCAGAGTTGAATCCGTCATTCGAATCAGATTCTAAAACTGTGACAGTAAAAACTAACAAAAACAGGTAAATGCAGTGTTGGAAATCAAGTAAGTCACCAAAAATTCAAAATAGGAATCCATGTTTGAGGGCAATATGTGTACTTATCATTGGTTGGATAATAGACATTATCATTTTCCCTCTTATACGCTCGGCCAGGAATTTCATTTGATAACGCAAAGTCAATATATGGCTGATTTGAGAAACATTTTGTTTTCACTAAAGTACAAAAACACTACATTTTCATTTTGTTTATTTTCAGTTTTTTGAAAAGTAAATGGCAAAAACCTAATCCTTTAAAGTTGAAAACTAGTAAACTAAACATTCTTTACTAATAAAATCAGAAAAAAAGAGTCCTAATTCCTTCTTTCTGACTTAATTTCTGTGAGCTTAAGGATTTGTATCACCCCAAATTCAAACTAGCAATTGATCTCTTTGAATTGACCAAATAAAAGTCTCAGGCTGTCAAATGATGGATGGAATCGAATGAAATAGTGACTAGTACCAGTGGTATAGAATGAACTGGAATAAAATTATCAAACCATTATTTGAGTATTTTTAAAATAGAATGATGTAAAGTTTTTGTTCCATTATTTAAGAAGATATAGTGACAAGGAAATTAGTAACAATAAGTTGGTCCCATTCATTGAGAGAGAAACAGATACAGGGGTATTTGATAGAATTGAACAGAATACACGAGGTAATAAACAATTTAAACAATAAGAAATAATGTCATTCCATTATGCCTCCTTTCATTCCCTTGCACCATACTTAAATTCCAGATATCACTTAAGTTCTAACTCTGTACTAACTTAAAGGGGATACTGAAATTAAAAGGCCTTCTAATCTATTCCAGGCAGGACATGAATTAAATTCAAATCAACAACAATACCACAAATGCTCAAAACTAGTATCAGATATTGATAGAGAAACTAACGTAGAGAAATGAAGAGTAGGATAATACTCACAGATTCTTTGATGAAGACGGAAGAGGCACAACCCTTCCACTTAGGATCAGAATCGGGAAATATTTGACCTATATCAGGAAGACCTAACGCTCCTAGAATAGCATCGACGACGCAGTGAAGCAGAACGTCCCCATCGGAATGAGCCTCGCAACCTCTTTCGTGGGGTATGTTAATTCCACCGATGATGAGGGGGTAACCGGGCTCCAACCGATGGAGATCAAAACCATGGCCCACCCGAAAGGGAAGAACCTTGGAAGGAGCGTTAGAGAGTGGAGATTTGTCGACTTGGATGGAGGGGGATGGGGTTGAAGCCGCTGAGGCTGAGACTGAGACGTATCCAAGACGGAGGTTGGGAAGGAGGGTATGGTTTTTGCAAGGGAAAGAGGCAAATAGGCGAGGGGATTTCGGGGTAGTTGTGAATGGGAGGAGGATGGAAGATGTTGCAAGGGAAGATGCTGCCATAGTTTTTGAAGTTGAGAAGGCTATGATCTGCTCTCCTACTCTCCTACTCTCAATTGAAATGGGAACCAGCAACCAATTTCAGTCACAACACAAGAGTGTGTAAGAGGCTCAGGACCGTAGTGTACTATATATTATGTTTCTCATGCGATGTCTGAAATGTGGGGCGAGTGACTGGCAGCCTGGAGGGGCGGCTCAGTTCCACAAATTAGACTAAAACATCTATTCCAGAGATTATCTGAATTAAATATTGAATTTGTCTGACTCTTGCATTTTACTTCTCCATATATTCAGTCTTGGTCCTCCTTTGAATTTTTCTGTGAAATTAGGTTTAATTAATTTTTATCCCATAATATGAGATGTTTTAATTTTTGGTTCTTTTACAAGTTTTTTTATTTTTAGCTTTGTTTTTAATTATTTTTTTCTTTCACGTCATTATTTTTATGCAGGATAAAAATGTTTACTCATGGGTCCATTCTAATTGTAGGAATAAAAATAATTATGAAAGACAAAAAATATTTGGCAGATCGAGGGTTTAAGTATGTTGGTGTGAACCCTTACTAACAACTATAGTTATTGGCTAAGTGGCTAACCCTGTGCGCTCATCCTTTGGTATCAGAGCGAGGACGCGCACTCGATTTCTGCCGATGATGGAATTGGGGCAGCGGGTGGTAAGTCCCCACGAGATTCCCGAAGAACAGGGGATCTGAGTGGCGGAATCGTGGTGGGACCGAGGATTTAAGTATCGTGGTGGGAACCCTTACTAACAACTATAGTTATTGGCTAAGTAGCTAACGTTTCACGCTCATCCTTGCATTCATTCTAATTGTAGGAATAAAAATAATTATGAAAGACAAAAAATATTTGGCAGATATCAAAATTAAAATCTCTTATACTTGAAAGGTTAATTAAATCTAAAAATTATATAAAAATGAATGCTTGGATATCATCATGTAAAGACAACCACCCCTAGCTTGGATGAACAGAGCTATAACGAAGAGAGAGATACCAAGAAATTAGAGGAGAGAAGAAATGAGTGTGCATTGAGCATATTTCTAAATTATTTTTTTGTGAATATATTATAAACTGTAGACAGAAAAGTGTATGTGATAAGATTTTCCCAAACATCATGTTTGCGTCAAGGTAATTTTGAGAATTAAAATGTATTCCAGGCTGTTAAAATCAATAGCGGATGGTAAATTATAAATGTTTTTCATTTAGTGTGTACTTAATTTAGTTTGAGCTTTTCCCATTTTTATGAATTCCTAGAAGAATCTTATCTGAAACTGTGTCAAATATTAAATGCGATTGTTCTCTTCGTCAACATTGGTACTTTCATTCTTGTTGCAAACCATTTCACAGGACTTAAATTTCATTGACTAATTTAGTTTGGTTTTTAGAAATAAAACCATTTGTTAATTTTTGAAAAATAACTCTCCTGAACAATCACTTTCGAAACACGTATTATAAATAATTTTTCATTCAATGCATACTTAATTTTAAACAGGATAGAACTTAATTTTATTTTAAAAAAAATGAAAATAATTATGTTTCCTATACAGTTTCTAAACATGCAATGACTGAGCGAAAAAAATCTTACATACTTTTTTTTAAATTTGAAAGTGCTTAGAAATGCTCTATTTAGTTTTGAATAAAAAAAATTGAAATTTTGGAAGTTTGAATAAACAAGAAAATTTAACTATACTCGGGCGAATTGCGCCCACAAAGTACTTAAAAAAAAAAACTTGAAACAATAAATAATTTTTCTGTCCAGTTAAAAAAGAAGAAGTTATTCTTAAAAGATAATTTTTTTAAATTGAGGTTGAAAGTAACAAAAGACAAAAGAGATGATAACTTTTTTCTTTATAAGATTATATATTTATAAATAACTCTAATTATTTTTAAAGACATATTATATACTAGTATTTGTTTCACTAAAAAATTCGGGATCGGCCAAACATTTTATTTTTGATAAATCTTGATACATTTGGGTTCTATGCCGAAAAGCCTCCCTGATTGTTTTCGCTCTGTATTTTATAGTTTTAAACTTTTGTCAAGTATAATTATACATAATCGGACTGTACAATTTTTTTAGCTATATACTTCCCCAAATAATCATATCCATGAAAGTATAGAGCCTCGATTTCAGCTCTCCTTCCGCTCTGAACCATTAAGGCCACTTCATCCTTGTAATTATCCTGTTAAACAACATTTTGTTAAATGTAAAACACGCTTTTCTTCTGTAAGCCATGCTTGGTGCACATCTCTCTCAACATAATCATGCTTATACAGAGTAGTCCTTGTGTAGGGGCCTACTACATTATACAATTATTGTGCACTTATTTTCTTGCATGGACATCTAAGAATGTAGGAATCATTCGGGATCTACCGAAAGGTATGAATCACTATAGCAACGTATGCCAAAATGTCTTGTGCAATAAATGAATTCAATAAAGCAGAATAAAATATGTAATATTACACATAAATCAGTAAACAGAACTCGAGGAGGCAAATAATACAGTATGGGCTAAATTCAGAGGTTTCGGATAGCTTACCTGTAATATTCCTGAAGAAATCAAGCTCTGAGCAATTTGCAGATCTTTTGGCTTCAATGGAACGAAGGATTGGTCAGGCAGCAAAGGTAGATCATGCCCCCGAATTCCTAACCACTTGACGTTGCAAGCTAGATAATGCATATGGAAACATTTCCTAAGTTTGTTTCCAACACATTACAGCTATTACACTGTGTTATAACGAGATTATAAAATTACCGTATCTGTATGCCTCTAGGCCCATTCCTACACTTCCAAATTTAAAGGTGCATAATATCGCTAATCCAGCTGGGTTCCTTCATAAGTTTAAACACGGCTAAGACAAAACGTCACGTTTTTTAACATTCTAAAAAAATCTTTTTGAAACATTACAGCGAGAAGTTATTATGGGGACAAAGACAGAGAATTATACCAATCCATTAAAGCTAAAACTGGCAAGTCTGGAAAAGCTCGATTGATCCGATAAAGAAGAAATCTGCATTTGAACTTCGGCATTTCAGTTACTATAAATGGATTAACACTACCATATACTACATGATATTGTCAAGCATGAATTAAAAACTTTTGTAAGCGTCCTGTAAGAGCTCTAACATATCGAATTGTCTATCTCGTAAACTGGTGTTCAGATTACCTCGTGGCCATATCTGGATAACCTTTAGCCGTGATAAGAATGCTTGGAATTTGATGGAAAAAACGATCCTCACTGAGCCGCTGAAATATTGCATGCTAAAAGAGAGCCAAATATTATTGTATAAAAAATAATGCTATTAGGAAGTACGGAACGTTTCAACTTTCAAAATAGCATGATGTAACCGTTCACCTAAAGCAACCTCTAACAAGCTCACCTTTTCCACAATTATGACGTACCGAGCATCTGAATTTAGAACCAACTTTTCTAACAAATTCAAGTCACCAGAAATTGCATATCCAGAAGAACCACATAAAGAGCAATCAACAATGTCGTTGCCGGGTTCCTATACTAGAAACATCATTTGCAATATTTCATCAAACAATTCGTGTAAAATACCCTAGTCATCTCTCTGAACCCAGGTATTGCAATATCCTCGAATGAAGGATTCAAGAGAAACCTGCAAAGTCAGACGGCCAGCTATGAGTCCTCGACTAGATGCCATGATTCCAAGACTGTATCGACTGCACCGAAGCAATGCTACAAGATCTGTTTGACGCAGATTGAATTCCCGTTTAAACTTCAAAGTTACACTCATTAGTTAGAAGTAACATAATCATGGATTAAAATTATATTTTAGATAAACTAAATGAGAAATCTATAAATTAATTTATGTATCAACGAAAAACTAGTTTCGTTTTTTTTTTTTCATAGAAATAATTATCCAAAAGGAAACAACACAATCGTAATAACCTTGGATTGTCCTGTTAACATGCGTTTGAGAAGGAAACAGGTGTGGCGAACCACACAGCAGCTTGTAGAAGAGCTCCCTCTGCGTGACACGCTTTTCCTGAAGCAATATCTGATAGCACATCTCCATCACCTTCCACACTGCAAGCCAGAAAATAAATTATATCCAAAACGTAAAAAATAATATTGGAAAATAAAAGAATAAGAAAAATGAAAAACTGCATTTGTAATCTGTACCCCTAACGAAGGCTTTTGCGGCATTAGGTCTCATCAGAGACCTCGTCGATACGGAATTGGAGAGAAAAACACGTGACAGTTCCGTCAACAGGCCATGATTCACTCGACTATTGCTATATTTTCTCTGAATCTGTTCGTTTCTTAGGATTATTAGCTAAAATTAGAAATACATTCATATTCGTTTTCTGATAGCAAAACAAGCTAAGAATAAGATAACACAGTGACTAGAACAAGCCAAACTAGTGAAACAAGGAGATTATAGTTTATGCTTAATCGAAATCGTACCAGAGGCAAATCTGAGATGGCAGGGTTAGATGCATTTAATATTTTGAGAAAGTTGAGAACAGAAACTTCAATTCTCGCTCGGACCTGCGCATGTCAAAACGAAACTGTCACGATCAAGAGAAAGAGGAAAAGAAAAAGAATGGGTGATGAAGAGCATTATTACCTGAGAAGGAGGGACGATATCGGCATTACAGAGCTCTTGGTCGGAGAAGAAGTTTAGCGTCAAATTTTGAAGATCTTCCATGGGAGCTTGAAATCTCTGGAATTCAATAACTGTATATTTGGCGCGCAATGCCCGAATAAGAAGGCTTCACGCCAAACACAATTTCGTGTGGTTTAACTATACATATAATTGTCATTACATAGCAAGGAATATTATTTTATTTTAAATTTTAATAGTAAGTTCCTTTAATATTATATGGTTATTTTTTATTTAAGCATTTTTATCAAAATACTTACGAACTAATCTAATCATAAAAATTCATTAGGGTTTGCATTTGAAACATTATAGAAATTAAAATTAATCTTAGGACGACTAATGATATATAAACGGCTCATTATAAAAAAATAATCATTTATCAATTATTTTTATTAATATAATATTAATACATGTATCTAATTTTTACTATAGTGCCTTTCTCTTTCATCCAATAGATATTTGAGTAGAATAAGTTGCTAATAATTTTCCTTTTATGATTTTAATTCCATTCTTTTTTATGTTGTTTTGAAATTTTAATTCCAAAAATCACTAGTCTCTTAAACAATAATAAAATAAAAATGATATTAAATGAAATATTGGAATACATAAAAATACAATAACATTAAATATAAATTTTATTTTATTAAGTTGATTTTGTAAATTGAATTAGATATTTTTTCTATTTCATATAATATTAAATCAACTCTAATGAAATTGATATTATTGAAAAAAATTCATTTGATAAGAAGTATAATTATATTTTATATCAATTAAAAATATAATAATATTATAATATATATATATATATATATATATATATATATATATATATATATATATATATATATATATATATATATATATATAAGTGAGTATGTTTTCAACATATATAGTATCATTTAGCTCGTGAGTATGGAGGGTGGTGAAGCATGTGACAGCAGCGCTTGGAACGTAGCCATTTGGATGCCGATGTTTTCATAGGTAACTACACCGCAGAACAAAGCCCTCACCCAACTAGCTAAACTAAAACAAAACTCACAAACACGGAAGATAAATGTGGTTGAGGAGGCTATTGAAGATGAGCATGTGCAAACCTTGAAGTTGAACAGAGTAATAATAAGGGGGTTAAGAAAGGAGGTTTGTAAATACTTAGTAACATACTATTATGTTGGACAATGAAAGTTATTTTTTCAAACTTATAAAATAACTACTAAAAACTTTACACAAATACGGCGTCTTTGCTGCGATGCACATATACAAGTGCCAGGAAAATTTGCAAATTTGCACTGGATATTACGCTTGAACATATGTAATAAAAAAAATTTTACAGGTAAAAAAATAGAATATATGAGTATAATTAAATAAACTCTTACTCGATATTGTGATAATATATTTATAAATTTAAATAGTATTTCATTAATTTCAAAAATATTTCATGTATGTATTCTATTTTTTAATTTATAAGCTAATATCTATTAAATTTTATATTTTTTTACAAGTTTCATTCGTTTAGAAATACCTGTATAATAGAGAAATACTCATTTGAATTATAGAATTAACATATATTTGTGAAAATATAGAAATTATCTACCATCAAAACCTCTGTTTATTTAGTAAAATTATCACATTATTTATTCAATAAAGTTGTCACATTAATGAGTAAGTTAAATTTATTTTTAAAATAAAATGTAAAAATAAAATTATGTGCCCATCTTTTTGTTAGAGAACAGGAATAAAAACAGATTTTGGAATCCATGTGTAAGATGACTTGGAAGGAAGATATTTGATTAGATTGATTACAAAAGTCAAATTCCATTTTATACAAGTAAGCAAGAGATGCATACACTTGGTTAGCAAAACAGAGAAACGCGTTTATAACGGCCCATAAAAGTGGAGTTTCAATTTAAATTGGTAATGACAATAATACAATTAATACAGTGATTTTTAACCTAAAATTCCGTGGCAATTATTTAAATGTGTAGCCAGTTCACATGTAATGACTATGTATGTGAAATTTTCTTGGCATGGATTATTTTACATTCACCCATGCTGCAGTGCAGAGTCCTCAATTTGGTTTAATTTGGAGCGTTTTGCCAAGCAAAGCAGATACTGAAGCCACGAAAGCAGCATTCATGTATGTGGTAGGTTCGCTGTGGGAATAATCAGATCTTGCATCATTGAAATGATCATTTGAATCGGGGCCTCCAACAATGGCACCCACATGAGTGTTGGGATTTGGATTAGCAGAATTGTAATAATCTGAGAAACCATCGTTGCAACCCACCTTGGCCTGGTGAAGTTTGATTGAAGGGATGGATGAGGCTCGGTGATGTAATTGCTTTGGGTATTTACTGCCAAATCCTACCATGTATGACATCTTCATCGGATTGTTTCCTAATATGTAGTCCACCTGCAAAGCCACACCCATTATCCAGTAACATCACATATTTGTATGATCTGATATTAGTTAATACTTAAAACTTTTTTCTTCATCAATTCTAGGTATCCAAGTGGATCCTTGTATATCTGCTGATATTAGCATACCTGTGTTTTGGCAAAGCCTCTAATTTGAGACGGTGTGAAATGAGCCGAACCACAATTGACTCCATTGATATGATTTCTGTCTAGGATTTTAGAGAAAATGAATAGCACCATGGTTGAGCTTGTGGCGTATTGCAAATTGCTACTATCTCTGGTAAACAGAAGGCCACCTGAGTGAACAATAATACGTAACTTCAGCTCATTCAATCGATCACATTGTTCATTGCAACATGCAAGACTATTTGATAAATGAATATATTGTATCTTTTCGACTAATAACAATACCACTATTTATAGAACGAAGCAAAATTATTAACTAACTCATTGTGAAACTGAACAGAATTTTGAAATAATTTGACAAAACTCAACTAAATTTGATAATTGTTTAGAGGTAACTTGAGTGAATTAAATCAAGATAAATTATTTTAAACTATCTATATTATTTAAATTATTATCATCGATAATTTTATTTTAAAGCAAATTTTTTTAATTTTATAAATCACAATTCAATTATGTTTAAGCAATTTTATGTAGAAACATTTTTTTTCAAATTAAACTAATATGTATATATATATATGGTAATCCAGTTCAAAAATTCTTTTCACAAAACAGTACAGTTTATAATAATCAAGTTGAACTTGATTCAGTTCAAAATTGAACTGCCCCAAGTATACAGATATGTTTATACCAGGAGTTCTTTTAATCTGTTGAGAGCTACTTCCAGGCATCACTGCACATACAAAAGACTCAGCGTCACTCTTAATCTTGGCCAAGTCTTTCTTCCCACCATAGAATTCCTGGAGAAAGAAATTAAAAAGAAGTAAAATTGTTATCTTTCCTTGATATATGAAAGAATACCAATTTGTTCCATTAATTATAGTTAACTGGTAATTTATTGAATAATAAGACCTCAGTTAGTAATGTCTGAGCTCCAACAAATTTGTTATCCCAGCTGAATTCAGACACTGCCTGGCTCCATCCTTGGTTACCTATGGTGTAGCTCAGATACTTGCTTTCTCCACTCGCTTTGTACAGCCAAGAAGCAGCCCATAACAGTTCATCCTTTTTTGTACACATTACGAAAATCACGGCCTCAATTAATGAGTTAATGATTAATGAAAAATTTGTTACAGTGTTTAAATTAAATGTTTCGAGGAGCAGCATCTTATACCTGGTAACCTGAGTACGAGCAATAAAATGGGCAAGAACCTGAGTAAGAACCTCTGTTCTTGTCTGCAAAATCAAACAACTGCATGCAAAACATCGTAAACATGTATATGTTATGATAAATTTTGTATCAACATTCTAAAAACCTTCAACTGCGTTAGGTGAAGCACATAAATATTTTAAAATATCTATAATAAGCAAGATACTGTTCTCATATAGAACCAATTCTCATCCTGATTCATGAATGAAAATAAATCATGTATATGTATCATGATGCATTGCTTACCGATTTTGAATGGCTTAATAGCGTGGAGGAATACTTGGGATCCATTTTCTTGAATACAATTGAAGCAGCGGACAGAGCAGCAGCGGACTCAGCTGCGGCTTCAGTGCCTGGAGAATTAGCGTCTATCTTATAGACTGTCCTTGGTGTATCCATGTCTTCCGGGCGCTCCCAACAACTGTGATCAGCGTTCCCATCTCCCACCTATCACCACCAATACAGATATGTAAACATGTCAACGATGATTCATATTATTGCTGCACCTTTTGTCTCCTCAATTGTTTAGGTTTTGACATAAAAATGGCCTATGCGTCAAAAAGTTTTAATTTTAGAAAATGGTTTAATTTACATTGTATTGCATTTGTGATTGTGATAACAATATTCTTTCTCATAAATGGAGACAGACCTGTGTATAGAGGGTGGTTGGGGAAGTATGGGCTTTCAATATGAAGTCTGCACCCCAACGGATAGCACTTTGGAGATAACCAAGCTGGTTCACTGAAGATATCTCACTCTCATACTCTACAGCAGCCCAACTCAATAAACTAGTAGCAAATGCCATTGGCCATCCAAACTTTACGTTATCACCAGCATCGTAGTATCCTCCGACCAAATCCACCTGCCAAAGATAATATATATAGATGATTATATAATAAACAAATTACTATAAGAAACACTTATGCACATGTATATGTAGCCAAAATATATGCCTCGTTCAATGCCAAACTTTCACAGACGCGTTCTAAGTTCTATGTATATTGTATATATTACTAGTCTACTACAATGTAGGGTTAATTAGTCATACGTTTTGAAGTTTGCCATCAGAGAGAGCCGAGTCTCCCCTCCACTTCACTCTTTGGTTTGAGGGCAACTTCCCTGATCGTTGTCCTTCAAAAAACAAAATGGCTTTGTCAAGAGCATCTGCATAGTCATAATTAGGTGAGCCTGACGAACTCAACAACTTCCCATCATCCATCATGGCTAGTCCATTGTGACTAACCATGGCACTCCACAAGAACACACCAATGAACACCAAATTGTACCCCATGATATATGACTCAACTAACTCGATCTGCAAGGTTCAGTTAAACTTGCAAGCTAGTATATATAGGGGAAAAATGCCTGCGGCATTACCTAACTGCTACATAACTTGATGAAGTGGAGGTGAAATGGAGATAGAGTGACGTGCGGTAATCACTAAATGCATATGAAAATTAATCAAAGTCAGAGTGAATGAGTCACACGGATACAGGGTGCTTGATATGGGTGTTCATGCACAAGACACATGTATTCCATATCCCCCTTTAAACGTTTGTGTTTGTTTTCCGTGTTTGTAACGCCTCCTTCTTCATCTCCAACTCCTACGTGATTAACAATATTTCTCTTTGGGGGCTTACCTAAAAAGAGGCGGATCTTTTGTAGCTTAGTCAAGTCCTACAAATTTTATAATTCTTAATTTTTACCTCTAAACTTAATAATCATTTAATATATTTATTTATATATTTATAATTTTATTTTTTCACCCTTTTCAATTTTATAGTTCTCGTATCATTTATAATTTTATCCTTTGAAAAATCAATATCAAATATCCACCACTGTACCTAAGATTATAAATTTTCCCACAGAAGAGGCGCAATAGATTTGGTGTCTAAATAGTATATTAAATAAGAAAAACGTTAGGCAGCATGCGTGGTTTCTTAATTTCCTCAAGATAGGGAATGGCTATTGACGTTTTACGTTCTAATTGCTCCATTTTATCAGTTTTCAATTATAGATTTTTTTTATGAGATCACATATATTTTACTGTGGGACAAAAACAAACTTTTAAATAATAGCTAGGGTATTTATGAATTTTTTTTATTAAGAACAAAATGAAATATTTTATTTTTAAGTAATCTTTCTTTTATAATTGAAAAACTCTATTATTCATAACGTCGTATTTTTTTCTTCTCCTATTTAATCCTTCAATTCATTGGAGGAACCCCGGTACAATAATGAATAAGAAATCAACAAATATACTATAGTACTTTATAATCTCATGTTTCAATGATGATGACCTAATTTCTAAGGAAAAAATTATGCTTTGGATATATATTGGGGTATGTATACGTGTACTGATATGAAATTAGTTACCCGCAAGCTCTCCAAAAGTGCAACTGTAACGAACAGCAAATCCGGTGGGAACCTTCTTGTTCCCAGAGGTTTAACTACTTGATTGGCGAGTTCGGCCATTACTATTGCCATCCACATGGATCCTGTTCCTCAATGATTCATGTTCATCATATCACATGGATAACATGCCATCCTCGGAGAAAGTTGGTGCAACTTTTCAACCAATGATTATCATAAATCATTGATGTTCTTCCCACACATTTCGGCTATACATATGGTTACATTTGTTTTTCTTTTTCTTCTCTTTGCATATGGTAGGACAAATTACTTGCATGAGTTTAACACATTAATTCAACGGAAATTTGCCACATGTATATTACATGACTATCGTAACTTTGTATACACCTGCACAATCATGAATATTCAATTTTATGTTGTGTCATTGGTGCTTAAATTCTAAAATTAGTCAATTCGATTTGTTATGTGGGATAGATCAAATTGACCCATTTTTTTTATATAATTTATATTATTTTTTAAAAATAAAATTAACAATTCAGCTATATTTAGAAACTTCAAATTAAATTTTTTTAGGCTAATCTAGTTTAGGGTTAGCTTTGTTCAATTAAGTCATATTGAACATAATTTTGTAGAACATTAAGTAACAAGTCTACTGTTTATTTGAAATCATATTTATTATTTTTAAATGTAATTATTTTTTATTATATGCTTGTTATGTATCTTATCGTTTATTTAATTTTTCTCTTAAAAAGTTAAAATAAACCTAAAATAAAAGATTAATTCGATTCAATTTTTTTATTAATTAATCTTTCTACTTGTCATTTTACTTTTTTATAAATAAAATACGTCTTAAAAATATAATTAAAAAAAGAAAATAATTAGATATTAGATATTTTACCCATAAAAGTTGTCTAATCTAATTTAATTTGTAACGGTAATTTGTGATAATAAAAGTTTGTCTAATCTAATTTAATTTGCAACGGTAATTTGACCCATAAAACCTATAATATAATTATTTACCCATAAACTAGGGGTCATCAGACCAGTACAAAAATATAATAGAATCAATTCAAAAATTGGAAATCAATTGTAATTAGTTTTTTATATTTTGTGTCAAATTTTGTTGTATTTAAATTAAAAAGTAATCAAATCACTTATTATAATAAATATAATATTCTATATTTAAAGTTAATTAGTATTTAATATACATAAATATTTAAAAAATTATTTTATTATATTACATATTGATTATATTGTATGTACAATAATATATCTATATATTTATTTCTATGATGATAATTTTATATTTGAATTTTTTATTATAATATTATTTATTTATGAATTAAAAAAAGTTAAAACTATTACATATATAACAAAATTAAAAAATTAAAATACATTTTTTTATTTGATATTTCATATGAAAAAAAAATTCAATCAAACCTGAATTTATATTTGATTTTGGTAAATTAACCAAATCAAAAAATATATAAGGATGAGATAAAGACAGAAGTGCAGTTTAGGTTATGCAAAGATTGTGTTTGATTTGGGATGAAGTAAATGGTTTCCAGGGATTACTAACAAAGCAAGGAATGAAGAGAAGGGTCTAGAACACTGCCTGTGGATTCAATTATCTCAGAATAAAAAAAAGGAATAATAATAATAACAACGTTGTGGAACTCGCGTCAAGGAAAACGAAACGAGCCACTGGAAATCGGAATGGCGAAGGAGCTCGAGAAGAAAGCGAAGGAAGCATTCTTCGACGACGACTTCGCTCTCGCCGTTGATCTCTACTCCGAAGCAATACGATTAGATCCAAACGATGCTCATCTCTTCGCTGACAGAGCTCAAGCCCATATCAAGCTCAACGCTTTCACTGGTTCCTTCCTACCCTCACTTTCCCTTTCTCTATTCGCTTAATTCACTTCACTCTCGCTTTCTCTTTCACTCGCACTTAATTTGTTTCCACTACCAGAAGCAGTTTCCGATGCCAACAAAGCCATCCAGTTAAACCCTTCCATGTCCAAGGCCTATCTTCGTAAAGGGTTTGCTCCTTTTCCCTTTCAATAATTTAAACACAAATTCTCGTATTTTCAGACTGAATCAAAGTTTGTATGTGTCTGTGCCTCTTATTTGCTGTTACTATTTACTTTTACAGGACCGCTTGTATGAAACTGGAAGAATACCACACTGCCAAGGTAGCGCTACAAAACGGTACCGCTTTTGCGCAAGACGATTTAAGATTCTCCAAGTTGATTCAAGAATGTGATCGCTGTATTGCAGGTGACCTCACGTTACGCGTACTCTTTTGTTTTTAGGTTTGAACTGTGCGCCGATAAACGGTGACTAATGATTGACATTGGATGAATCAGTTTAACTGTAGTAGCAATTAAACTTTCTGTCGGAGCCAATGAGTATGGGATTTTTTTTGTTGGATTTATAGATTATAGATGGCAAAGTGCGAAGTTCACATATGTATGACATGGTATAATGAGTGAGGGCTACTGATATGGCAGATTTTTATAAAAATTATGCTTCTCATGCTTTCTTGTCCATATCTCTTGATTTACCAGAGGAATCAAATGGTCTTACTAGCACCTTATCGTCAAATGTTTCCCACTTGAGCAATAGAAATGATGGGGTGACTAAAGAAGCTGAAGCGGACAGTTTGGTACCCCAAATCAATGAAGTCACACTAAACAGACCAAAATACAGGTTCTCACTGTTTTAATTTTCTTTCATCCATGCTGTTATTTGTTACATTTTTAAGTTTTGTAGGGGAAAATATAGTGGCCATCATGAGTCGCGATTATAAATTCTACGGATAACTTGTTTCCGTCGTTTCATTTTGTTTTCTTCCCTGTTTTTAATTTTCCCCCCTATAATTCCCCTGACATGGTGAATAGGAAACAAAAACATTTTTATATAGTAATTTATGGTTTTATAATCATATTACTGGCTTTATTTTTTAATTAAGCTTATTATAGGGTCATCATTAAAAAAATCCTTAATCAAAAGTCTTCTGCGGTAGTTTTTGTTTAATGATTATTTCCTCTAAAAAAAGTGCTTATCATGCATGCACTAGGGTCTAGGAGGTTGGGGAATGTTAATATGTCATGCTACAATGTTAAAAACTTCCAATAGTTTGTGTGTTTTTGGCATGCTTGTCTCTCTTTTGTCTATGGATATTTCTTTGTAACCTGCTGATTATGCTTAACCAGACATGAATTCTACCAGAAGCCAGAAGAAGTGGTTGTGACAATATTTGCAAAAGGAGTATCATCAAAAGATTTGGTTGTTGACTTCGGTGAACAAATTGTAGGTTTATATAATGGGTGCTTTGTATTTCCCCTGTACACTTGCCTTTTTCTTCATGTTTTACATATATATAACACTTAGGATAACTTGAAGTGCCTTTACATTACAGCTTAGTGTTACTATTGATGTTCCTGGTCAAGATGCCTATCATTTCCAATCTCGATTGTTTGGGAAGGTAACTAATTCATATTAAGAGTTTACTTCTCTATGTTTGATGATAGACTGACTATCTTCTTGGATTGCACGTAAATAAATACCATCTTCTAACAATACCATGACAAAAAGATGATGCTTTATATGGATATCTTATATCAATTAGAGAAATGATCAAATTATAGTACATAAGTGAAGTGTAAATCTCATCTTAAAAGTGAGCTCTGTAAGATTGACATAGGCCCATATATATTTTTCTAATGTTTTTCATCTATCTTGAGATTTTGTGCGTATTTCACCATTAAGTAGACATTGGATAACTAATAGAATTAGCAAAACTTTATTTTTTATTTGGTGGGATCTGAGAGACCTTTGACAATATTTCTCTTGCTTTTTTCGAGATCTTGTTTTAGAATACTTCAATTATAGAATTTAAATGGATTCATTTGGAATGAATTGGTGTACAAGTCCTTAAACTTTGTAAATTATTTAATCTTTTCAATTAATATTATTCTAAACAAGCTCGTTACATTAATTTGTTTGCTAATGAACTTATGAATTTTTTTATTTTGATCATTCCAAACAATATTTATAATTAACCATTATAGCAGCCACCACCATACTTGCTATAATGAGGCGCTTTTTGACCCCTCTGTCCTCCAAAGTCAATTCGTGAAGAGGCCCATTATGGCGGTGCCATAGGCCTCACAATGCCATTTTTATTTGGTGGACGTTTGCCATCGACCACCCACACTCAATTATGTAACTTGGTTAAATAATAATTTTATCCCGTATATTTATCTTTTTTATACTTGCAAGGCATTCAATTTCGTGTTCTTTTGTTGAATTATTTTATGAATATTTGCATATTACTTTAAAATTTCAGAATTAGGTCTTGCAAATATGGGCTGATGCTATTTTAATTTCGGTGTGTATGCTTGATTTTATTTTTCTAATTTTAGAATAAGCTATATCTTGTTTTGGGCAAATAGCAACATTAATATCCAAATTCATTATTGATTTCTTACCTTTCCATTTGCTTGAGCAAAACAGATAATACCCAACAACTGCAGAGTTGAGATATTGTCAACCAAAATTGAAATTCGTCTTGCAAAAGCTGAAGCTATTAATTGGACATCTCTGGAATATAGCAAGGATACGGTACCCCCCAAAATAAACTTGCCTATAGGTGAGATGACTATTTATATTATCCTTTTGTTATACCTTTGTTTCTTTGTGATTGTTACTTGGATAATTGTGAATGTAACTTGATGCTTCCTGATTGTGAGAGTTTACTCTCAATGTTTATCCATGTAGTTCAATCTGAAAGGCCTGCATACCCATCATCAAAACCAAGGACAAAAGATTGGGATAAGTTGGAAGCTCAAGTGAAAAAAGAGGTTTGGCAGCCATCCCTTCTCCCTTGGGAATTATTTAGGCTTAATTTCGTAGAAGCTCCATTTTGTCCTATAGTTTATGTAAGTTAATTTGTAGTTTTTCTACGTTTTTAATTCATTCTAGAAAACTAATCTACAGGATCTTTAAATTATTGATTTTTACAATATAACATACATAAATACATGAATTATAATAAGAAGACAAATTTTGATCCATGAGAGTTTGTTCTTTAATTTCTTTGTTCTCCAACCTCCTTTACCCAATTTATGTCTTTATTTTTCTTTCTCTTCTCACGCTTTCCTGATGGTTTTCTGTGAAAAAAAACTTATGGCCAGAGACAGAATCCCAATCATTTTTCATTAATTCACATCCATCAAGTTGGTTACCGTAAGTCACATAATAGAATGAATGAATTAAATTAATTTTACCAGTTTTGACTTCTACCATGTTGCCCATGGTTTAAGATAAAGCATTAACTTTCTTTGCCATGGTAATGTAGTGTCGTGGATTACCTTTCTGACATTGAAATGTGTGTTTCAATTCCTTACTTGCAATGAGAGTCCAAATCATTGCATGACGATGGACGAGTGGTAGTGTTTGCATTAATTTGAAAATTTTAGATTTTAAATTGTACAGGGACAAAATTCAAAAAATTTGTTTGACTGGAAGACTTGAATTAAACCTGCTTAATATTTTTATCATGAAAAATTAGAAAAGTGTACATCGAGATCAAACAGAATCTGTAACATCTTGTGGAACATGAGAGACTGTTTAAGCAATATTGGCAAAATTGTGGTCTGCCTTTCAGGAGAAAGAAGAAAAGCTTGATGGTGATGCTGCTTTGAATAAATTATTCCGCGATATTTACCAAAATGCAGATGAGGACATGAGGAGAGCAATGAGCAAGTCTTTCGTAAGATGTCCATTCTGTGCTTGCTTTGAAGTTCATATAGTATCATTTCCACCAATTGTGCTTAGTTTTTTAAATCATTAACATTTTCTTCCTTTTTTTTGAACTATTTTTTTGTAGTTGGAGTCAAATGGAACAGTGCTATCAACTGATTGGAAAGAAGTGGGATCAAAGAAGGTGGAAGGCAGTCCTCCAGATGGTATGGAGCTGAAAAAATGGGAGTATTGATTCGGTACTCAATTCATATAAAAGCTAATGCTTGTGAGAGTTCAAGATGGTCTCCTTCCAACCTTCTGCCAAGAAAATAAATGCAAAAAAAAAAGAAGGAAATTCTGTAATCAGTATTTCTAGTTAATACTATTTGTGTAAGAGAAATTATTTGGCTGAGAGAATAACTTAATTTGCTTTTGCTGTAGAAGTGGATTTTATTTTGTTGGTATATGTTCATATAAAGTTGGATTTTTAGTTTTTATTGTTTTTATGAATTCAATATTGGAAACATTAAGTTTGAAAGATGATGAGCTTTTTAGCGAAGATGCTTCCTACATGTTCCAACATTTCAATTTGAAGATGTTTATGTGCAGTCAACTTGACACAGGCTCGACAGTACATTTGATTGTCTTTAATTGATGCTATCTGCATAGGCAAATTTTATTGCCTAGAAATTTTTTTCAAACAAGAAACTTAGTAGAAAAGTTATCTAAGTTTGATTAATTTAAATCTATTGAGATATGTCAGTCCTTTAGATATATTTTAATATCTCGAGAGTTTAGGTTCCAGTGTTTGACCCAAAATACCGTGCTTTAAAAAAAGAACTCAATATATACAAGTTTTGATTGCTAGTTATATAATTCAAGCTTTTCTCATTTGATCCAGCAGTAGTTAATCATAGTGGAAATACTCTATAATCTCGTAAACTTTACCAAAATTTTCAAGAGTTTGAAATTAGGGTTGTCATTATTTAAACTGATTTACCTAATAATCACATAAGTTCTAATCTATAGAGTTAATTCACAATTATATTTTAAAATTATCTGACCAAATTATTGAAAAACTGATCATTCATTACTGAGCTCGTTTGCCCTTATGGTTGATGGCGTATTTGAAAGAAAATAAAATTCGAACCAATCAAAATTTTATTTAGTTGGAGGAATGATCTAATTATATACAAATATATAAAAAATTGTTTTAAGAAAAAAATACATAATTGTATTCGAAAATTCACACATGATTCTGAATTAAAACAACTATTTTATATTATGATGAACTTACGTTAACTAAATAATAGTAAAATTATAACAACATTTATATAATTGTACCACAAATCTTAATATATAATAATTAATAAAAAATATTATTAGTTTGGTTCGCTTTGATTAGATTTGTAAATAACAAATTCAATACTATAATCACTCAAGCTCGAATTTGATTGGTTTGGATTCGATTATACTAAAAATTTAAATCAATTTAATTGGTTTGGTTTAAATTTTTTAGTTGGTCAAGTTAATCTAAATTCATAAACAATCATCAATTTCTTCAACTGAATCCTTTTTGAAATATTTTTAGAAAAATTTAACCGTTCGTTATTAGTTTTTTGTTGTGAAAAGTTCAAACAAATAGAAAAATAGAATCGCAAAAATTATAATAATTTAGGCAATAAGTTTTAGAATATGAAAATACAATTAAAATGAATTTACAGATATACATGTAGTGTAGGTAATGTGGAAAATGAGAAATACTGCTAGATTTCAAGATTCTATTCTGGTTCATACGATTATGAGTTGGATCATGGCATTCGTTATGCAGGTAATGTGTTAAGAGGGGTAATGGGTAATTTTGTTACTGAGTTATCAATCCTCTTAAAAATGTTAGATAATTTTTCCATCTTAAATATAAATATATACAATTTTGCCATCCTTGAATCTAAACTAAATTGTTATCATTCATATATAGAAGGGTGGTGAAAATAAGATTGGCATAAACGCTATACTTCAAAAAAAAAAAAAGCTCAATAAAATACATCCTTTGATAAGTGTTAAGCATTTCATCTGCTATCTCCACACCATGATAATTCAATTGTTCGTATTGATATAAATATTTTTATCCCATTTATTTAGTAAAATAATTTTCGTTATTGAATATAAGATTTTAAAAATGATTTTGTTCACGGCTTACCCAACGCCCAGGTGCGTCCGCGAAATCTCAGTCCATGAAAGATTCATCAACATGAATGAAACCGTGAACTATGTGCCTACAACGCACAAAAGCAAAATGGGCATTAACGACTCAAGGAAATGAAGGAAACAAATAACTACACATTCAAATCACAAAGGTTGCAATTGAAGAGAATAATCAACCCATCTAAGATATGTATCACTCTACATGATGATCTCCACCCACCCTATTGGCTTTTGAAGGACAACACTTAAGAAACGTAGTCTTAAATATAAACACAATCTTACAGAATAGAAAATCTTTTCTAGTTTTCATATTTACTGATATGGCAGACGACTCTAAATAATTACTGCCCATTAACATTACTATCCTTTTTGCAAAACTTTAACCAATCCCCACTACTGATGGGTATGAAATAATGAAAATATGAAAAATAATGATCTGAGAATAAGTTGTGTGAAAATAATATTTCATAGAACAGGAAAGAAAACCTTGAATATCTATGTCTGATAATAAGATGTGCGAAATATAATATTTCATGAAAATGTCAAAACAGTAAGTAATTCTCTGTATTTGCTCTAGATGAACACAGCTTATGGTGAGATGAAGGGTCTGTGAGAAAGTGGAGAATTGCAGAAATGTTATCAACTGGAAGTACGATTATGAGCATGTGCAATTCTATGGTTTGCAACGAGAACATCCGGTTGGGTGGACCCACTGGTCCGTCGGAGAGGTTGTGGAGCGGGTGGCCTTGAACTTTGAGTTTGTGTTGGCGTAATTATTCGCTGCGCAATAGACTCATCGTAAGGCTGACTTAAATCTAGACTTCCACGCATTCGTCCAGTGGGAGCCCAATTCTGTTCTGATTGCGAACTGAATAATTCATCAGGCCTAGAAACTGACTGTGCTGTATTTCCTCTTTTTTTATCTCCTGTCAACCCCTGGAAACTGTCTGTTGCAAAAGGTGTGCCTGCAACACTACTTTGATTTTGGACCGAAACTAGTGGTGGTGTCCGTCTGGCAGGCTGATTAGCAGTCAAACCCCTAGCTTGTAGTTGGCTATGAGTAGTGGTACCAGCTGCAGGAACATTCCTAGCATGGGAAATGCCTTGTCTGGCAGCCGGTGCAGCAGGCCTACCTGCCGCTTGAAAATTCCCAGGTTGTGAAACTCCTTGCTGGGACCATTGGGTAGTAGGTGGTCGTGTTGGTGGCGGTGGTCGTAGATTTAAAGGCTGTTGGGGTGGCCGGGAATTCAGAGCTTGTTGCAAGTGTGGATTTTTAAAACCAGATAACGAGCTAGATCTGTAGTGGTTCTGCATTTTAGTTGGTGCTGACGTGTTCACTAATGGTACCCGACTCTGATTTCAATGAGAAGTAAAAGTAAGTGCAGGAGTCATGGACACACATAACTCAGAAAACTATGGTTCTTCTAATGAATGATTTTCAACTACATGGTGAAAGAAAATTACAGGCATCAATGACTTTTTTACAGTATAAGAAATGAAGAACAACAAATCAATACAAAGTATATATTTTAGGACATACTCACATCTCCAAAAGTTTTCGTAACATCTATATAATTTCTTTTAAAAAATAAACTAATATCATTCTTTCTTGAAACCAAATTCTTATTTCCCACTGATCTTTTTCTTGGATAAATTTTTTCACACACTAATTCTCGATGGTATATGACTTCCAGATTATGTACGTATATATACAGAGTTAAGGATATGTTTGGAAAAGTGCCAAGTTACAAATTAAAATTTAGAAAAACTAAATAAGAGTGCTTCTACAAATTAACTTCTGCACAAGTTAATTTTGACATATGGAAAATCTCATTTCATTTTTTTTTTCTCTCCCAAAATTTCTTATGAACAAACTTTTCTCCAAACAGACCCTAAGATGGAGAAGAACTTAGTATAGAGTCAAAAAATGAGCATAGTAATATGTATGTGTAATCACACAAAAACTGATAGAATATGGGACAATCATATACGTGAAAATATTGGTTCGACTCCTATTAAGGAAAAAGATGATAGAGAAAAATAAGGTGGTTTGGATAGAGTGCAAAGAATGCCACTAGAACGCACTGGTGATTGAATGATTTTTTAACTTACCCAATGGGAAATGACTAATACACCGAAATAAATTTTTCAACGATTTAAGTTCAGCACATTGTTATTATGATCGAGTGTGTCAAGTTTTCCTTTCAATAAACAACAAGATATCAACACTGAAAGATAAGGAACAACATATCCAGACAGCAACTTCCTATGCATCCTCAAAAGCAGCCCCTAAAATAATGTAGTAATAATATAGTATAAAATAGTAAATATAGTACTAACAAACCAAACCTGTGATGCAGTGTGATGCCGAAATGAAGGTGAATTCACACCTGAGACCTGAGGCATATTCATTGGGGATCGAGAAAAACGTTGCTGTCTTTCAGTATCACTTAGTATGACATTCAAAGTATCTACAGTGGTAGAGCTGGGCAACGAAATATGAGGAGTAGAAGAGGAATTGCTAGATAACAGGGAATTATTTAAACTAGTTAATGGATTTTGCTGAGGTCCCAATGCCTGAGATTGGACTGGGAGGGCCTGAACAGCAACTGGAGCTCTATGAATATGTCTTGGCACTGAGGATGACCTACCATACTCGTTAACTGAATTCATATGATTCATCTGCATCTGCAAATTGTTCGGTGCCGAAAATTGATTATGCATGGCAGAGTTAACAACAGGGCTATTGTCACGGCCACCAGAGTCCTGATTAAATGCTGGAGAAACGGTATCAGGCAGACCAGGAGGCTCTGAGGTACCAACCATTGGGACATCAGACCTACTACGGGCACTACAAATCCCAGACAAAAAGTCATCTATTTGAGCAGCAACATTTCGAGGAACACCAGGAGAGTTCATACCCAAGGAAGATGAATTTGGGGCAACAGACTGACTTTGAACAGATGCCTGGAAAGGTTTTGTATCTACAATTGAAGAAGAGTCCATTGTCTCCAAATGATCATCATCATCCGTGAGGTCAACAGTCCCAGGTGAGCAAGTATACTCTCGTAGTTCAGTTTGATCCTTTTCACAGTTGGGGGCCTTCTTTTGCATCTTATCTACATCATGATCCTTTTCCAGTACTGCCTTCCACGATCCATCAGCAAGGACATTCACTTCCGTAACGTTCTCACCAACATTTCTCAGGATCTTTATTTAAAAATAAAAAAAAGTTTTATTTTTCACTTCCTTTACAACCTCTCATTGACCCAGGGTTCAATTTAGTGTACCCTTAAAATTTGAAGGTGTGTGGTGGTGTTATGAGAATAATATAAAAAAATAACCAAAAAATCCACTCCCAATCTTAAGGTGACACCAATAACCAAACTGACTCTAGGTATGAGGATAAACAATAGATAACTCAATTGAAGGATTAAAAAAGTAAATCAACTTACCTCAACCATGTTTCGGTCAAGACGAATATCAGCATAACAGACATACTGATTGCAATGAGGACAGCGCCAGGATGGCCTTTTTGAATTAATACTGATAAAGTTGTAAAAGTCAAAACACTACAATAACAACAGAACAGAAACTTGTCAGAAGGAAGCGGAGAAAAGAATGGGGAATATACAAACATATACATATACCCACATCACATAAAAAACTTGTAACAATTAACCATCATAAACTTTTCACTTTAGAGGAATGCCCGTGACACTCTTTCACTATCTTTATAAATTATTGAAATTGATTCAAAATCACTAATTTTAGTAGGTTCAACTTCTAACTCGGGAGAGAAAGTCACTAAGTAAGAAGAGGGACCCACAAATATCAGTTCTTTTGAATAAATTTAGTCAATTATAGAGTGTCAGAAAGAAAGTGTTGCTAGCATTCCTCTTTCACTTTATCGTAAGAAGTTCTTATTCTTCAAACATTTAAGCAAATTTTAGCACTATTATACAGACCAAATTTGCTTTATTGCATAATAGTATAGAGACTTCTAAAGCCAAATTTAATACTTGTGATAAGAAACACGGTATAATTAATTAGGACCCACCCTAAGCATTCTCCACATTAAGTGCTAATGCAGGAATAGTACCTGGAAATGTTTGCATGAACGCCCTTTAACAGGAATCTTGATACGTGCAAAGCTGTTTGTACAGATAAAACAAAAGACCATGAACTTATACAAAAAAAAAAATATAGAAGGATTATCATAAAAACAGAGAAAAGCCCAATTTCCTTAAAAGAAAATAGAGCAAATTATCATAATTTCTGCAGGGTACAGCATTAGCATTCTAGTAAAAGGCAGTGACCCGAAGAATAAATATAACAAGAGTGATAGAGAAATCATACTCCGGAGACAGAAAACTTCGAAAAAAGATGGCTAATCTAAAAAACAATGTTAAAATCGAGAATTTTCTGAAACTGTAGTTAACAAAGCCTGTATGTCCAATTAGATTGGCAATCACAAAAGGCATATGTGAACGTAGTGAACTAAAGAGAATTGCTAAGTAGGGAGAATCATACCAGGAAGAACCAATTATCAAGCATTCAACAATATGTAGTATATAGTAGTGGCAAAGAACAAGGTCAGAATTAGAAAGCAATACAATAAGGTTTTGGGACAAGAAAAGGTTAAGAAAAGACTGCTGGGTTCTGGTTGAATAAATAGAAATATAAAATTCATTATGATGGTTATTCGATAACAAGTATCATTAGGAAAATTGAAATCCAGATAAAAATAAACTCGTCACATTAAATAATTTTAATAATGTCATAGATATTCAATTAAGTGCTTTGGACAAGGAAGCCACATAATCAATTTCATTCACATCTAACTAGCTCAACATGAAAAGGCAGAAGAAAGGTGAATATACCCAGAGTGAAAATAGGGCATTAGTTCCATTAGAGGGAAATACAAAATAGCACTGACGAAATAAACAATATTATTAATAATTTAATAGTAGAAATCAGCCAACTAAAGAGGATTTGTTGCCTCTGACTTGCTTGAATACATAAAGTAGTTCCAACTAAAATTCCAACACAAATATATCCAACGGAAACTATATTTAAAGACAACATTATTAGACCAACAACATATTAATTGTGAACACACAATGGATAAGAGCACAAATGACTAACTCCATAATTCTTCAATTTCAAGGTCCGTTAAGGGCTAAATTTCTAATGGACTACATCCAGAGACAGTGAGAGACTAAATAGATCTCCAATAAAAACTACCATCAATGATACAACTATTCACAACATAAAGACGGGGAAATCTAGAAACTGACAAAGCAGAGGAATCAAGAAAAAGTGATAATTGAGCAGTATCATGAACAAATAAACATCAATGCATACCTTATTGGACAATTAAGTGAAATTTGTGAAGCCCCCTCAATAATATCTGAATCTTTTTACAGGCAAAAAGATAACAATGAATCATCAATGGTGGATTAATACAAATACAAATAAGAATAAGATGTAGGGTTTTTTTAAAGTACTGTTCATTTTAAATATCCAAATCATACCAGAATCAGAAGAGGTAACAGCAGGCTGGAGATAATCTTGAAGAACTGGATACTCATCCAAGGGTGTAAAACTCATATAGGAAACAAGTACAATGTAACGACCTTCACGGTGATAATGGTTACAATTCAGTAAGATGTACAAATTGAAAGCTACTAGGATAATAGAGAAGAACAGTAGCTTTAAATATACAACATTGTACCATTGAACTGGCCCACAGCTTGAAGAAGATTTGTACCAAATTTAAGCATACCAGTCACATCAGTTGGCATTTGCGGTCCAGGATCCTGATTAACAAAATGACAGGTAAAAGTTAATGCCACACTTTACAAAAAAGGTCCGCACTAGATTTGTAGAATGTATGAGCAAATATACAACAGACCATATGAAGATTAGTTCTATAGATTATTCCTTTTCCATTCAGGAGAAAACTACAACATATGAAATAAAAAGGTCAGTTAGCATCAATGTAGAATGCATCCCCACGTTTAATCTGTTTAAAAGCAACCATACTTCACTTGCTGAGGACTTATGAGGCATGCCGATGTCTCAATGTTATCTATCTGTGCCACCAATAAAAACTGCAAGTTGAAATAAGTTAGATAACTTCGAACAAAAACCAAAAAGTAAAAAATAATACTATAGGATATATTCAAATTACAAATAAAAAGAAACAATGATATATACTATTATTGTTGGCCAGAGGAAAATAGATGCTGATTGAATGTACAAAAGAATATCAAATGTGCAAAACCTTAGATAAAAAATGAAGCAAGCAACATCTTGAATTTGAGAGAAAGAAAGAAGTTTCTATATTATTTGATGATTCCCGTGATGTACAAGCCCTACTGTGAATATATAGTTAATTCTAAAAAATGAAAAATTAGAAAATATAGACAATGCAATACATTCTAGTAATATATACCACCTAGATATGTGTAGGAAACAGATCAGATAATCCTAATTTAGTTATTCACATATTTACAGCACTACCCCTCTAGATGGTTAATGGTTGTTAATCACTCCAGCTTGCAAGTAAGCTGCAAATCATTCAAGATACAATTAAATTATAATATATTGGTGAGGTGCAAACCTCATTCTACAAACCGGTTTGATACAGTTGAGTTATGCACTTCTTCATTTTTAAGTTGGTAGCAAATAAATGACGATCTTTTAGATTTTGAATCTTTTAAAACCTTCATATCGAGAAAATAAAATCTAAATCATCTAGAATTAATTAAGTTGCCTCTAATGTTCAATGTCAAAGAACTTTCAATAAGCATGTTACAATGGCAAAAAATGAAACTTATATGTCATAATTGAAAAAAAGAAGTCTTCTCTGTCAAACAAAGTGAACAAGTATTTGTGCTAAAAGCAATTATGAATAATTTGGTAAGATTGCTAATAATTTTAATCATATATAAATGATTGATTCTAGAGCTACAAAACATGACATTTAACCTAAAAGGATCACCCAAATTAAACCATCTACAGAAAAAAAATATTTCTACTGTTGATGGAAACCAAACCCAAATCATCAGAGAAAGATCGTTAAATCTTATTATTACTTTAAATCTTGATTGTTCTTTTCTTTTTTAAATTTAATCTTTTATATGTTTCCTAAATAACAACTGCTTTATCCAGTAAAACAATATTTTCCCCAACTCTTGTGTTCTTAAAGATATCCAAATAAATCCAAGTTTTATTTATAAGAATATTTAAAAATGAACATTGGCAATTCATTTGTATACCAAAAACACACTGCATAGGTGAACAGTAAATTCAGGTCTTCGTTCATGAATCATTAAAAAAAAAAGTCAATTCTTACAATTTTGTCTTTAGGACTTTGTTCACTCTTGGTAATATGAAAATCGACCACAGAAGCTCCATATCCCGGCTGCAGTGCAGGTACAATAATATTAAATATGTTCTTAACATGGAATAAGAACTGAATTGACAAATCACAAGGGACCACCTGGACCTCAATCGATGCAAATATCGAACCCATTTTAATTTTAGGATAGAACCTGCTTGAAAATCCACATATAAGTAAATTATTACTATTTCACATCAAATAAAGTGATAAACTCAGATGCATTATTTCTTATAGGTCCTTTAGTTTTTCCTGGTATTTATTCTTGTCCATGGTGATAGTTGTAACTTGTTAGATACAAAAAATACCCAAAAGTAAAATATTGTTGTCTATTTAAAAATAAAAGAGAAGATGTAAGTGAATTTATATGTTGAAAAAGGTTCATAGGACCCTACTTCTCCATTATTGTTGATATTTCAGAACTGCATGATCTAGGTCTTGCATTTGTACTCCCCATACAGCTGTAGACTTTTTTCATCTACTCTTTGAAAAGATGATGATAAAAAAATATGACGATTAGAAATCACCAGATAGCAAAAGAAGAAATCAAAACATATAAGCAAACCTCATCCACAATAGTAAGAAGTTCTTCCGAATCTTTTGTTTGGAACCATCCAATTTCACAGGCACCCTACAATGATGGAAAGTATCAGTAGAAAATTCAAAACTGTATAAATGTCATGGTGCATAACTTCTTGATGCTTTTAGAGAAAAATATTATAGATAGGCACAGAAAAGCTAGTATAACCCAAACTCTCATTTGATTCAGATTCTTCAAATCATATAAGAGCCAAAATTCTACAAGAACTAAAAAACCATTCAGAATCAGATTCGGATATCTGCATAAACTTCCTAATTTGATAGTTCCAACACAATTATTGTGCCAAAATGCAAGAACATCATGTAGTGGGCCACAATTCCTGAAAACCTTCACTTAGTTATCATATAGTCACCACCAAGTATTCACCTCAAGACCGACTAATAGGTCTTCTTACCAAAACTCCAAAATCCAAGGTTTTCATTAGTCATAGCAAATGAAAATTCAACAAGTTGATGATAGCTTTGAGCAACAACATGAAAAAATGAATTTACCTTTATAGATACCATCAACACCATCATTGCGGCTTGTGAAAGTTCATCAATCTTTAGTTGACAAACCTACATGGAAAGGGGAAAAGTAAAAGTCTTTATCTTGATATCTATTCTTCATCATTAAAAAACACAATGCAATGAAAATCACCTGCTTCATCAACAACGGTAGGTCCTGAACATTGCCTGGAATTTCTCCATTGGCAAGTGCATAATCGATGCCTCTGTAAAATGTCAAAAGTAAACCTAGTAAAAAGCCCAGCACATTTGCAACAAGTTAACGGAACATGCAAATCTAAGCATCATTGACATTTCATTTGATATACTGTTTATTTATTTGGTCATGCAGAAAATATTCATTGCTTCCTCCAGGGCTATGCACAAGAACACAGCAGATTTGGAGCATAAACTTTCACTTCCTACTCCCTAAACGCAGTACTTTAAAATTCAGTCTAAAACCTAACACCAACAAAACTTGATCTAACTCAAGTGTTTCAACTAAAACATAAGCACATCTAGAATCTGTCACAACAGTAAGATGATACATTCTTGGAGACGAGAAGAAGAAAGAATTAAAATGTAGAAGGAGATAGAGATACCGAGCTAGGGTCAGACAGAGGTTGTAAAATTCGCTAGACTCCACTCGGCTACCAGGTTGAGCAAGCAAAGTCAAACGCTCCGCAACTTTCTTGATTCTATACATGTTCACCACAGATGGCGACGTGTCTACTGGCAGTGGTAACGCCGCCACAGCAGTGTTCATTGATACCTAGGAGTTTTGGGAGATGCCAATATCCCCGGAGTCTGCTCTGTTGTAGTTTTCTTGACCAACATAGGGTTTCAGTTTTGCCTCCTAATAAAATGGGTAGTGATCACTTGAATGAATCAACAAGGTCGGTTCGGGCTCACCTTTCACCCAAACCCATCAAACTGGTTAACTATGGTGAAGTCTGCACGGAGCTGAACGGATTTTGATTGTGGGATTATTAGGGCAGAAAAATGCGATGACTGTGACAGAAAGGTACAGGGTGCCTATAATTCTCAGTGTATGTTATGTAGGTACCTCTTCTCTTCCCTTGCTCTGGTGCAGAGGATCCAAATACAAACAAAGAATTAGTGTGTTAAAAACTGGTAAGATGGGTGAACAAAACAGGAAGAGAGGAAGGAATAAGACAAAAATACAGGCTAAATAATTTTTTTACTTTTATTTTCAAGAATTTTTATTAATTTATAAAATTGAGTTAAGGTTAGTTTTTTATTAATTTTTGAAATTATCTAATGAAAAATACTGTTATGTAATAATTAAGAAAAAAATAAGAGAAAGATCTATTCATAAATCAGAAATAAAAAATAGCATTGTAGTACTCAAAACTTGAGTCCTAGATGTATTATTTCATTTTATAATAATAATAAAAATTTAAAATAGTAAATAAATATTATGTATTTATCATGAAATTTTAGTGTTATTTTATTTTGAGATTCTATTCATTTAGTCATGAATTTTTATTAATGTATGTGATTTGTATGTCAAATAAATAAATATATATATATATATATATATATATATATATATAAATAAAAGAGTTATAAAACCATTTATTTTTCAGTTCAAAAATAAAATAGAGATAGAAATTATGTTTCAACATTACATATTTATTTTGTTAAAATAAATCATTGATATTATTTTGAGAGTTAAATTAATATATTTTGAAAAAAAAAATATAATAAATAAAGAGATAATGATGTCATTATTTTGAAGGATCTGGTATTCAAAAGGGAAAATGTACCATGCATTAATTTCCCTTTTTATAATATCCTATTAACAGGTTCAAAAGCTCACTTTACTATTCAGTTGAATTAAAATATAGTTTTGTCTACACCCATAAAAAAACCAGTTCTAAATATTATAACATGATTTTGTTGAAGATGTTCCTCTTTGAGACTTTGCATCTGAATATGAGAGGATGCTCTAGGTCTAGGTGTGGTTAAAAGATCACCGTAATGGATAAAGATTCATACCTTAGTAACATGGAATTGAAGTGCAGAAGTTATTTTTCTCAAAATTAATTCCAAAACAGATATTAGATTAGCAAACATGTCATTGTTATTGTATATGTATATGATAAATCAAACCTATTATAAAATATTGAAACTCACTTATCAATTCTTGCAATGTCAAAAAGCCTGCAACTTGTGAAAAATTCAATGGCTGCATGTGCCCTTTACCATTCCTTTACTGCAAAAGGATATTGCATTTAAGAATTATTCTATAAGAAATATCAATCAGTTGCATCTATAGTGAGTAATTTTTATTTTATTTTTAATTTCTTGAGCTATAGAAAATCACTGGTGCCTAGATTTTGAATGGTCACCAAGGTTTCAAATTTGAGTCTTCCCTATGAAAATAAATATAATTGAGATGATAGATTTTAATAAAAGTGGTTGAATAAATCACTGAAAATTTTAGTGAATAATCTTTACCTAACATGAATAAATCATTTGATGAAGAAATTTGTAAAATAGAAAAGAGAAGGTTCAAATGAACAAAAGATCCTGTAAAAGAGTAATTCAACAAAGGCTCTGTTAAATAGAAGCAAATGAAAATATAATGATTTTTTTCAATAAATTAATATATTTTTAAAAAATTATAATGAATGAAATTTTTTTTTATCAAAATCGATAAAACATATGTGAGATATTAACTTTACAATTTTAACAATAATTATTTCAATTATACCACTTTTGCTCTTATTAATCATTTTGTTGAAAAATTATTGGATAAAAAAGGTTGTATAATTTGTTTGAGAGGACCAAAATACTAAAAAGTCTCATGGGTTAAGATTAATACATGAGTCAATTTAATATATATATATATATATATATATATATATATATATATATATATATTAAAAGAAAATTCCAAAAAATATTCAAAAAATACTTAAACAGATAGAAAATATTAATTTATAAGTTTTTCCAATTCAATATTTCATTTAAACGGTTAGTTTATATTTATTTTATGTAATTATTTTTAAATATTAACATCATAAAATAAATATTTTATAAGAAATTAAAAAATATATAAAACTTAAATATTAATATTATATTTACATTTTTCTATAATGCTTAACATAAATTTATGTTATTAATTTTTTTAAAAGCTTGTATAAAAAAAGTTGGATTATAACTATTATATTATAGTAATGAGTCATGTATCATTTAAGAGTCAAGAATAAAGGTAATTTATATAATTTTTTTTCTCTCAACCCATCAATGTGTCTTTTAAGGATAAAATTATGACGGTTTCAAAGTAGACAATACCTCGAAATGAGAATTGATTCTAAGAGCATCTCCAATGGGAGTTGCTACCAAGAATTGTTTAAGAATAAAAATAAATATTTTATTGTGGGCCTCACATCCGAGTTGCTTAAAAGTTGAGAAAATTGCTTAAAATTAGAAGAAAGTTGCTTGAATAACTCTGACCATGTTTTAAGCAACTCAACTGTGAGATCCATAATAAAATATTTAATTTTATTCTTAAGCAACTCTAGTTAAAAACTCTATTTGCAGATGCCCTAATGATAATATCATAACAGACATGAGATGTGGACATACTCATTCCTAGACGGAACATTAACATTTATATTTTTCATTAAAAATGATGTTGGTTTAATAATCAAATGTACACGTGTACATTATATTTAGAAATAAATCATTTAGTGAGGTTGAACTGAGGAGATCGATGAATCATGTTCCGACACTACAAGAAATAATGGATTTATCAATGGACAAAATTCGTCGATAACAACAAAAATCCGTCGGTAAATATATATTACCGATGATTTATCGACAGAAAAGAATTTATCAAAAATTTCATTGTTAGTAAATATTATTGACGGATTTAAATAGTTCATCGGTAATTACCGACGGATATATCCGTCAAAAAGTATTGTAGGTAATTATCGACAGATATATCCGTCAGAAAGTGTTATAGATAATTACTGATGGATATATCTGTCGGAAAGTGTTATAGATAATTACTGATGGATATCTCCGTCAGAAAGTATTGTAGGTAATTACCAACGGATATATCCGTTGAAAATATCTACCGGTAATATCCTAATTTCTTCCAGATTCAGAAGCCATAGAGAGCTCTGAAGCCTGCAAAACGACATTTTTCATATTCAGAAAACTACACAATCTCTGCACAAATGTTGGTAAAGTACCAAACTATAGCATTATCTTATACTCATCTAGAGAATTATTCAAATTTCCATGCCAAATATGTTGTGGGGGTTTTAAACTCCATAAATCTATGTAATTAAAATCAGAAAGCATACATAGGGTGTTGCACGTTGCAAACAATGGAATCTTTCAAAGTTAATGTCAATGCGACATCTTATGCTCTACATTTGGATCTGGACAATCTTGTTAATATGGGAATCAGAATGCTTGTGATGAATGCATCATATTCTGCATTACAAATTAACTCACTAAATCCTTTACCATTGTCCATATTGCAGGTGCAAATTGTAAGTTTAAGCATCATTACACAATGCAGAGCATAAAAAAATTGAAGGAGAATTTGAATTATCCCTTCCCAACAAAAATGGAAGGAGAATTTGATTTATCCTTTCCCAACATTAGAGTGAATAAAATAGTAGATGTTAAGTGGTAAAAAGTTAATATAATTATGCCTTGAATTGTTATAAAACCACTTAACTTATGTTACTTCTAATATATTTTTCTCCCAATATAGGATGAATTTGAGAATACCTTGATACAAGAGTAAGGAGCATAATTGTCAGCATAATTGGAGTAAAATTGAAAGAAAGAAGAGCGCTTAAGTGAATGAATGATGCAAGGCCCGACCCAAATTCTCTTATAAAAAGATAAGTTGTGTTTTGAGAAAAGCAAGCAGTCTTGGAGAAGAGGAGGCACGACTACTATTAGGGTTTTGTCTAATTTTCATCAATTCTTCACTTCTTCATCAATTGGAGCATTGTAATGGCCAACATGAGTGACTAACTTCATTCTCTTAGGATTCGGTGCACTTCCTTTGAACTCTTTTGTATCATGGTGATATTTTGAGATATTAATTTATGTTTTGATGTTGTTATTCTTATCATTTATGCTTTGGAATGATTTATTATTGATTGTTTGAGGTATGATTGGAAAATATATTTTGAACCCTAGATCACGGTAAGAATATTTGTTACGTTAATTGCCAGGAATGGATAGAATGTATCAATTGCTTAAACACCATAAACCTAATGCTGAAAAATCTCTTAATTGTGTGAGGAATCAACATTTATTAGGTTTTCTTATGAATTTCATGTGTGAGGAATCAACATGGATGATTTAAGTAGGTGGCATCAACATTGTTAGGTTAATTGACGTTCTTAATTAACATAGTCATTATAAAAGAGGGATAAGGAAGGAAGTCAATCCTAAGTACCTTTAATTGATATTTTCTCAACAATTTATAGTTTTTTGTCATTTAATTTCAATTCAACTCTTATTTGTAAAACTCAATCTGTTTAATATACTTAGTAAGCATAATTGGGAATTTCCATTGAAACTGTTCCTCGTGGGATCGACTTTTATTTAATTGAAATATTATACTGTGATTGATAATTTTGGTACGCTTGCCAATAATTCAACAGTAGACCCTACTGTTTTCAACCCCGCAAACCCAAATCCAACTTAAATCAAAATAATGCCAAGCAAACCCAACGATTAAAGATCTAACTTGATCGAGCCCTGCATCAAACGCATAAATCAGTCATAGCCAACAGAAACAAACATGTACAAATAAACTCCAATCTCGACCCAACAAAATCAGTTCATCCAAAACATAAAAGAAAATTGAACCAATCAAAGAAAGAGAGACCAAAATCAAGGAACCACCTCAGCTGTTGGTCCACGACCTTGCATCAAATCACTATCAATTAGTTCATGGTGGTCTTTGAGGGCGTCGCAGTGGCTGCTGCGGAGCTGGCGCAACTTAGGTGGCACGCAACGGTTGTTGGTTACAACAGATTGGCTAAAGGAAAACTGCTGATGGTTAATGGTGGCTGGCACGATGGTTTGGATGCAGGGGTTTCGATGGTACGCTGCAGTTTGAACTGGGTTCACAGCTCCGGTGAGGGGAGGCGGCCCGCGATGAAGATGGCTGCGCTGCGAGGATCTAGGGTCGTGCGGTGGGTGAGGTGCGAGTTAACCTAGAACTGAGATAGGGGAACCTAGTTGTGAGAGATGAGGGTGGCGACTTGGATAGGGGTGAGCTAGGGTGAGATGGAGGTGGGCTACAAGGAGGAGGGGTGATGACGAGGGTTCGAAGAGGGTAGTTTGTCTAGGCTCACAGTGGCTCCTGATTTTGGCGTGGTGGGCGAAAATAAGCAGCTAGGGTTCTAAAAGAAGGAAATAGGCGCAAATAGGGAAGTTGGAAATGATGATGGTGAGGAGTAGAGATGAAAAGGAGTTTGGGTTAGTGAAGGTCAAATGAGGGCGTAGGTATAAGGGAGAGATGAATGGGTCTGTAATGGTGACTCTTTTGAGAAATTGATGGCGAGGAAGAAGAAGATGAAGGGAGGGATTAAAGGAGATAGTTAGAGCTGGGAGGTGTGGTCGAGAGAATCAGTGTGTGAAGGTGTCACGGTTAAGGTTTCCAACAAATATTTAAATTTTTTTAATTTAATATTAATTTTTAAAAATATACTTTAAATCCGTCAATAATGTCTATTGGTTACTAATTGTTAATTTAGTGACGGATATATCTGTTGGTAACTAATTGTTAATTTAGCAATGAATATATTCGTCAGTAATTAATTATTCATTTACTGACGGATATATCCGTCAGTAATAACTCATTTTCCGATAACTATATATTCGTCAGTAACTAATTGTTAATTTACTAATGGTATATCCGTCGGTAACTAATTGTTCATTTACTGACGGATATATCCGTCGGTAAGACCAAATTCCACAAATACTTTAAATCTGTCGATAATCACTCATTTTCTGATAACTACATATTCGTTGGTAACTATCTATCAGTAATTAATTATTTTCTTGTAGTGCGAGCTTCAACTTCGAAGATGTTGAAATAACTACCTTTAGAAAGAGCATAGACCTACCTACAAAAGATAAGTGTATGTGAGAATGAGTGATAAGTTAAATTTTACTCCTAAGTTGAATCTCTTGTTGAAATAACTTCTTTTGGAAAGAGTATAGATCCACCTACAAAAGATAAGTGTATGTGAGAACAAGTGATGAGTTAAAATTTACTCCTAAGTTGAATCTCCTTATATAGAACTCGAGAATATAATAATAGTCCAAAAGACAATAAATGATAGTCTAAAGGATAATAATTGATATAAAATATTATAATGACATATAAAAGATAATTAATAAGATAACAAGATGATTAAATAAATAAAGTAGTTTTAATGGATTTGAATCGGGTAGGTACACAAGCCTCAAGGTCAAGTTTCTTTAGGAATAGAGGTCAAATGAGTTTAAAATTGAGTTAATCATTTTATCACATAGATGAGTATTATTCAGTTCAAACATGTTTATATTATTAATCATTATTCTGCTAGACCAAGATATATTTGTAAAGTTTACTCAGTATAGAGTCTATTTATTTGTCATGCAAAAATAATGAGTTAAAAACTTTAGAGAAAAGAGAAAGGAGTTTGATAGGGCTCCCATCAACGCCCGAGCTCAAGAAAATTGTCCTTTAAAGACTAGAAGTTTGTCAACCTAGAAAATGATTTACATTTGTTATGTGTATGTACTATGATTATGAAGTTACAAATTATCTTATTCATAGACTGTGTAACTGTTAGTAAACTATGCAAATGTTGGACGCATGACTCTTATTAGAGTTTTTAAGACGCAGATTTTGATAACTTATACACCTGAATAAAATATGTATACTCGTGTGACCTCGAGTAAAGTAAATATAGATTTTGATAACTCATATTTGAGAAATATATGTATAACTCATGTGACCTCGAGTAAGGTAGATGCAGATTTTCATAACTCATATTTGAATAAGACATGTATAACTCGTGTGACCTCAACTAAGGTAGATGTAAATTTTGATAACTTGTATATATGAGTAAGGTATGTATAACTCGTGTGATTCTAAATAAGGTATATATAACATGTGTGACCCTGAGTAAGATAGATGCAAGTTTTGTTAACTCATATTTGAGTAAGGTATGTATAACTCGTGTGACTTCAAGTAAGATAAATGCATATTTTGATAACTCGTGTGATTCCGAGTAAGGTATGTATAACTTGTATAACACTGAGCAAGGTAGATATAGGTTTTGATAATTCATATACTTGACTTAGGTATGTATAACTCGTGCAACTCTGAGTAATGTAGATGCAAATTTTGATAACCCATATATAGGAGTAAGATATGTATAACTCGTGTGATCCCGAGTAAGGTAGATGCAAATTTTGATAACTCATATATTTGAATAAGATATGTATAAATCATGTGACCCCGAGTAAGGTAGATGCAAGTTTTGATAACTCATATACCTAAGTAAGGTATGTACAATTCATGTGACCCCGAATAAGGTAGATGCAAGTTTTAATAATTTATATACCTAAATAAGATATGTATAACTCGACTTTGTTTAGGGTTTATATAGCTCATTTTCTAAGTGAAATATATCTTACGACTCGTTTGTTTGAGTTAGGTATAATTTTATACTTGTTACTTTAGGTGTAATGTCATTTTTATACTCGTGTGACTCTGAATAAGATACATTTTTCTACTCGTATAATCTCGAGTAAGGTTATATTACATTTTTTTGCGAGTAAGTTACAATTTTATACTCATATTATCTTAAGTAAGGTATAATTTTTATAATTTTATAACCTCGAGTAAGATATAATTATTATACTCATATTATTCTGAATAAAATATAATTTATGTAAATTGTAGAGTTATTGCGAATGAAATATGCAAGAGAACCATATAAAATAAATTTCTTGATTATATTTTTAACATGTTAGCATTAGTCGATAATATACCAATATTTCTTATGAAAATAACAATAATTAATAATATTGATCCGAAGATATTTATTTTGTTATAAATAGAACATCAAAAATTAAATATTTCATTCCCTCTTTTTAATTAAATATTACTAAAAATAGTTTATTTCTCAATAATTATTTGTGAAAGGTTTCAATATTTAATCATTTAGTCATTATATGGTCTCCGTAATAATATTTGAAATTTTTAAAGATTTTTATAAATAAAGATTGGAAATATTATTTTATTATTTTTTATTTAAATTAAATATTATAATATTTTGAGTATTATTTAAAATAAAAAATATTAAATTATTATTTAATTTAAATATTTAATATGAAATTTATAATTAAAATAATATTAGTATTTAATATTTTATCATATTTTTATTTTATATAAATAAAAATATACCTATATAAGATATATTAAGAAATGCATGTATAAAAAATACTAAAAAATTACATCAGCACACAAAGTAATCACGACTTAGAATATTATGGCACAATATACTTCAACTCATCAAAAACATGTACTTATATTTCACATCTTCGACACAATCATTTTGTCTTTAAATGCGAATAGCTTGTTATGTCTTTTTATCTTATAATCAACTTCATAATTCATAGTCTCTTTTATATATAAAAAAAATTATATTTATATATGAATATACTTTTATATATATATATATATATATATATATATATATAGAGAGAGAGAGAGAGAGAGAGAGACTTATTAAACCAGTCAAAAAAATCATCTTATGTCCCGGGGGAATGAGATTCATTGAAGTACCTACTGCTGATAGTAAATTTCATCAAAATAGTTTCTTGTTATATCTCTTAAACTATCGGACTGATGTAAGTAGTGGTTGTTTTACAAACCTTGATTCATTTAGTAATGATCAGACCCTTATTCCTCCAATCAGTAGTTCAGTCAATAGAGATTATCCATCTTTATTTGTTATTCTTTTTGTCAGTTCACTACTGCAGAAAAGGTTTTTTACATCGGTTAAAATGGGCTTTCTACGTCGGTTAAAGCGGCGACATAGATACGGGGGTCATAGAAAGTAAGGCTTTCTACGTCGGTTCCTAATAACCGACGTAGAAAGTAAGACTTTCTACGTCAGTTAATAGCAACCGACGTAGAAAGCCCTACTTTCTTTGAGCTATTATGATCGGTCAAACTGGTTATCATCGGTCATAGAGCTATTCTGATCGATCATAACTGGTTCTGATCGGTCATAGAAAGACTTTCTACGTCGGTTAGTCAGGGAACCGACGTAGAAAGTCTTATTTTGTATGAGCTATCCTGATCGGTCATGAAGCTAATCTGATCGATCATAACTGATTCTGACCTGTCATAATATTCTATGTCTTACTTTCTATGTCGGTTAAAATTATAACCGACATAGAAAGTCTTACTTTCTAACTTTCTATAACCCCAGTATGTATATCGGTTAACAGTAACCGTGATTGTATATGTTATCAATGTCGGTTATGCCTATAACCGACATAAAATGTTACACTTTCTACGTCGGTTATGCCATTAACCGACGTAGAAAGTACTTTCTACGTCGGGTAATGACATAACCGACGTAGAAAGTGTTATTTTTTTTTAAAATACCTGCATTTTATTTACAGATGTTACCTTTCTTCGAGTAGACCTGCCTATTCATCACAGTTCCAGACAAATAACCACAGATCCAGTACAGACGAGATATGCACAGTTCATATATAAATTTGCTACGAGATATATATCCAGTACGGACGGATTCGATTGCGAGCGAGATATGTACATATGAAACACATTGAAATGAATATATGTACGAGACAGATCCAGTTCCAGACAGTTCATTTACTTAAACGAATGTAAATTTCCTAACTTAAATCAATTCTATCTAAATTGTTACAAGTTAAATTTCCTATGAAGATTGAATGCTTAAAAGGAAAGAAGCTCACTTGCTCTCGATATCGTCTAAGACTTCAATCTTCATTGGAGATGAGTCTGTAAATTCCTACATATTGAAACATTTCAGATTTAGAAATCATTTACATAATTGGCATATTTGACTTAATTATAGTATATTTACCTCCCTCCACGTGTCAAGAATATTTTTGGCTACAATGGTGTGCATGTGCTTCATCACATAAAACCCGCACTCATGGCTTCCCGGTTGGCGTGGACACTACAAGTTAAATACATGTCAGATTAACTTTAAATGACAAATTGAACAACAGTAAGAGGTGTTTGGTCACCTTTGGTGCAATATACGTCAACTTCTTTCTAGCATGAGATGAAAGACCTTGCAACCTTAGGTGAGCTTCCAAAGCTCTACAAAAGGACAAATAATTTTGGTGTAAGTAGTGCACATATGATACAACAATTAAAAACAACCAAACTTACGCGTCTATGTGCTTTCTAATATCCAAATCATTTGGTTTCTTGTGTAATGAACACAAGAGAATCACAAGAAATTGGCGAGGAACAATTATTATGAGCTGCCAATGACCCCTGCACGTTGCAATAATATTAGTAAAATTTCAGTTTTACATAAATGTGCATTAATTTACAAGATGTATACTTATCGATGCAAGTAAGGTGCTAAGTAGACTTCTTTGCCCCCATTTTGAAATGTCTCTATTAAGTACGTTTGCACCTCTTCAGCTTTATTCCCAACGGACTGAATGGCAACAGGGTCAACAAATCCATAGAGATAGCGGATCTTCCTCTCAACACACAAACGATGTAAATACCTTCAACATTGAAAATAAATAAAGTTATAAAATAATGTACCAGTGAGAATATAAAAAATATGTAAATATACTTACATTTCCCAAAGCTGGAACACTGATACACATAGCATATCAGTACCAGTGAGAATATCAAAAATATCCCTTTGGAGTAAGAAAAAAGGGATCGTCTTGGTCCTCCATACGACTTTGGGTGGCATATCTAACTGTATGGGAGTGGTCCCGATAGTCGCTGCCAGTGCACCGAGTCGCTGTAAAGCAGATGGTGGTGGTGGTGATTCATGCACAACTTCCTTTACTTTTTCAGCCTCTTCCTATACAAGTACCAAAAATCAATAACATTAATATACATCAACCTATCAAAAAATAATAAGTATTATCGTTCAATGCATAAATCAACCTGTGCATGTGTTGGGATGGGTCTTGTTAATGAAACTGGCCATAAGATAAAATGGCCAGGTGCCTGTCCCACTGTTTGAACCTCTTCAGTGGGAATAGGGATTGGGGCAGCAGCATCCCAGACATCTACAACTACCACTCTGATCATATCATCTCCAATACTCTGGTGGTGGATGGTTGACCCCAATGCATACATTTTCCCTAAGGTAAACAAAGGATAAAATATTTTAGACTATATAATGCGTAACACTGTACCAAATACATGTCAAAGATATAATACGTACCGTATGCCACCAAATGCTCGGGAGGACCCGCAACATACAAGCGACGGTCAGCAGTGTCGGTAGGAGCAACCTCCGCCCCTCTATCGGGAGCATCACAACTCTCCTTTGTGCTGACATGAATCGGGGATGCCGCTCGTGCGGGGACAGAAGGTTGAGATGACAAAGATGCCAACTCTGCTCGCATTGAGCTCAATAACTCTGTCTTCAAGTCAGAGTACACCTCATCTCGAATCTCCTTCCTAATTTGTTGTTTTAGGGACTCAAACTCTTGTTCATTCAGCTGCCTCAAAGAAGAAGTTGCCACGGGTGGGGCACCAAAGTACTGTCTGATGCCCACCCCTCGTCCAGCACCACGAACACGTCCAGGATGCTCTGGGGTACCAATGGCCACTGCCAATATATCCTGACGGCCATGTGGGTGGAATGATCCCTGAGTGCTCTGCTCAACCAACTCATCCTACAACACAAACGAATTATTTTTTAGCAAATACAAATGCCTATTGTAGTATAACATATATAATTAGTTTAGGATATGCTACTTACAATACGTTGAGCAACAACATTAGTTTGCTCGAGATAAGTAATTCCCCGATGAGTTCTGGCGAGCTCTCTTCCATTTATCATGGCGTGAAGGGCGGGTGACAGAACTCACAACGGAGTCATCTCGAAGGTAGACTTGAAGAAGTCTCCTTCATCATCTTCTCCTCCAATTTCTCATAACCCCCACGAGACAACTCGTGGGGGTGGATATTCTTCCTCTGAATATCCTGTGCCTTCTACCTCTTGGCCTGTTGCATTCCATGTTAAATACCAAATTTAAAACCTCTATTTAAAAAAAATTACTGCAAACAAATGACAAATGTGCTAACCTGAAACCTAGGGTCTAATCGCTGAGTCCGAAATGTCTGTCATGTCTCCTCATCCAAAAACTGATACTGGTCACATGGGTTCTTGTTGCTCAATGCCCCATATATGTATCGACTGGTCAGATCACTCTTAAAACCTCTCCAGCGTTCCCCAGCATATGAGATCCACTTTGTCCTCAACAAAGTGGTGTTAGGGACATCATATGTGACCTACACAATAAAAATAACATGAAGTTCCCAAAAAAAGTTAAATATATATACATGTTAAATGCTCAAGTAAGAGTAGGTACCAGGATACTCGCCAAATGCGGTTCTTCGATGTCTCGGAACATGGTCCCAATCCTCAATAAGAATACTAACCTTGCTTCTCCCAAGCAAGGCCACATAGCTAGTGAATCTAGCACTGTGCTCTCCGATGGCTCTACCAGCTTGCATGTCAAACTGGATAGGCAATTTCCGATCGGAGCTGCGACTCGATATTCAACTCCCTCAACCGGTGTAGCACGCCTACCCTTTTTCCTGGTAGACGGCGACTCGATCACCACCTTGTGTAGGAGGGGGGACTGTGTAGGAGGAGGGTACCGGATGAATCTGCCATATCTGTGTTCAAAGAAAAAAATAATAGTTATTAGTTTAGACAATATGACTGAAGATAAACAAAAAAGTGCATACATTAAAAAATAATACATTAAAAAAATTTCATACATTATCAAGTTGGAGCATTCTCCCAAAATCCTTCCATATGGTCATAACGGATAGCATGCACATCATCTATTTCTACATTAACACTCAAGTTTGGCATATTTAATGTTCAAATGACTAATGTTCAAATGACTACAGAAACACATTCAAATGACTAAACTACTTACAATACATCTCTAAATTAGCTAAAGGCACCCGTGATGTTTCCCTCTCTTGACAGCATTATTACTTACTAGATTCAATACTGTAAACCTACGTTGGCTAAAGCAAGCACGAAATCTTACCTCTTGAAGACCTACAGAGGTGGCAGGTGGCGTGACGTGCAGAGCTGGGTGGGGAGAAACGTATCCCAGGCGACGGGCACCAGTAGCAGCAGGCGGCACGAAGCGTTAGCAGGTGGCGTGACGAGCAAATGTGGGTGCGGAAAAACGTATACAAGCGAACGGGGGAGCTCTGGTATGGGTGAACTGATGAAAGGAAATGGAGCGTAGGGAGAAACGTACAGGGGAGCTCTGCTATGGGGGGGAAGTGATGAAATGAAATGGAGTGCGGGAGGAGCAGAAGATACTATGTCGGTTGCCCTAACACCCGTCATCAAAGTCACTTTCTACGTCGGTTAAAATTTACCCGACATAGAAAGTTCACTTTCTACGTCGGGTAAATGTTACCCGACATAGAAAGTTAACTTTCTATGTCGGGTAAATTTTAACCGTATGTCGGTTAAATTTTACCCGACATAGAAAGTGACATTTCCACTTACTATGTCAGTTAAAACTTAGCCGACATAGAAAGTTTATGATTTTATTACAAAATTGCCACCGCGCCACATATTATGACGGGTGGATTACGACTGTGATAAAAACCCGTCATAGAAAACTATTTTTCCACTAGTGGTTGAATTCCTCAGCTTATGTAACACATTCTAAAGATTTGAAGACTATTACAGGTGCAATTTTTTCTTAGTTCAATTTTTTATACTTTTTGTATTGTTTCTAATTTATTTTTCTCCTTCTTCTTTATGATGTTATTCAATAAAACTCATTATTTGCATATTTTCACGATGCTTTTCCCTCGTTTTTCTTTTTTTGCACGCTCTTATTCATTCAGAATCTGCATTGATGTTATTTCGGTCATGAAATATGTTTATTGCAAATTTCATTTTAAATCTTATAATCTAGAGTGCATGATCAACAAGCCTGAAATATGTTTTAAATCTTAAATAATTGCTGAAGGTACAAAGGTGTCTGGATCTTCTCCCCTACTTAGTATCTCTGTCTCTGGCAGATAAGCACTACCCAGGATTCTTAGAAGTTGCAGAAATTTGTGTGAATTTGCAAATAATTCTCCAAGACAGAACCCATACGGAATCATAAGATCACAGAAGAAGACTTCACATAAGAACAATAAAAGTAAAAACTTGAAGCAAACTGCAAACCATGAAGAAATGGTGTTTATTCACATAATATTAAGAAGGGACAGTGTACACAGATTTCTTCAAAATCAAGTATACCGTTACCCAGTAAACCGGTTGGGGACTTGATTAAAGAAAACAAGCATTCAGCTGCTACTATACTGAAGGAGCTTACTATTATACACCCAGATAATAGGATTCTGGCCAAGGTCAATTCAAGGTTCAAAAATGAGGATTAGTGGATTTTGAAATGGAGAAAGGACACATGAGATTGATTAAGCATTATATAAGCTAGAAACCTTCATTGCTGATAGCTGCTGTGCTTACCAAAATTTAGATTGGCTGCAATGAGTTCTACGGAGGTTATTTTCAAGGTAAGACTATTTTAAATGTTGTAATCTATACATAGGGTTACACAACAACATTCTTTGTCAATCTAAACACGAATTTTAACTTCAATCAATTTTATCAAAAAGAAATATACGATTACTTGAGCATCCGAACGTGGTATAAACGATAAACCAATAAAGTAGAAGAGCCCAAGGCCAATTCAATTAGATTTTCCTTTCATCCTTTATTTATGATCTCTCCCATGACCAACATATCAAAACTTGAAATATACTACTCCATCTCAAAATATTAACAATACACGAAGTGAAAAAATGGAATGGAGAATGAAAAAGTGTCACGAAAACATTTGATCGAGGAGTAAGACGAGTGCCATGGCAAAGGCAGGGTCACAGCCAGGGTGCACAACCAACTGGAAAATCTCTATCCCAAAAGAGACGTTTTTGGTATGAGCTTCCTTCTTCTTAATTTCAGCCACGACCCTTCTGCACTCATCCAACACCTTACACGTACGATGTGCGTAGGAACCCTCTACAGTAAACGCTACACACCCTTTCCCTGAATGTGAGACTCCACGGTACACGTAGGCCAGAACGTTGGTGTTCCCATGTAAAATATTGACATGTTTCCTTACACAACAAATTGGACTCTTTGATGGCCTCCTACGAATGTTCCCCACTTCCCCTTCATACACAAACCAACTATCCAACAATCCAAGCCTCTGCAAATCGTCAAACACACATAAACTATTTAACAAACCATCGTCAATAAACAAATCAAACTATCATTTTTCGTTATATAGATAGGTATAAAAAGTACAGCATAAAGAATAGTAATCAAGACATACCCTACGGCGGAGCATGGTGAGGATAGATTTTCCCGAGGCATCCATGAGAGTGACTTCGTTGGGTCGACCAATATAATTGTCCACCCGATACACCAAATTTCCGAAAGAATCGATGACCGTGAATCCTTTGCAACTCATCACCAAGGATTTCCTCCAAACTGTGAGGGACGTGCACAACTTTTCTGCGTTGTTTTTCTCCTCATCATGCTCTTGTTCTTGTTCCTCGTGCACTGCTCTTGACAGGTATTTGATTCTAGGAAACACCCTCATCTCTATCTCTCTTCTTTCCCTCTGTCTCCGTCCTTTGATCTTATATCAAATTCACTCTCTCTCACCTTCAACCTTTGCGTGAAGTTTAACCGGGACCAAAGGGACATATTTATATTATTATTACTATAAAATAACATTCGTAGTAGTAAGGTAACAGCAACCAACAACGTCTTCAAAAGATAATAGAAAATTGTTTTATTTGATTTCCAATTCTGCTGCTACCAACATGGGTGACAACATGACATGTTGACATACCCACCCTTACAACCACACACACTCTTTCACGCCGAAGCGCGTATTATTATTATTATTATTTTTGTATAGGGCCACCACGTTGTCATGGATTTTAAAGCCAAATTGTTACAAGTTATTTTCTAAAGGATTTATGACATTTTAATTGCGCGCGATATTATTAACTCTACAAAAAAATTATAATATCAACTTAACAGTTTATATTTAAATTTTAAGTTAATTCTTAATTCTGAAAACATTATTTCTTTTTCTATTTCTATTTACAAGATCAAAATTGAACATGATTTTTTTATAAGACTCATGTGTCTGGTATAATTATTTATAAATCAAAATATAATACTAATTAAGGTTGAATGGACAAACAATTGGGAAACAAAGGAAAATATTAACGATAAGGATAGTTCTGAAAAGTTACATAGTTGAATTTTATAGGTAGAACCTAGAAAGTAAATTAAGTCTATTATATTAAAAATTTATCTTCTCTTCGCCCTTTGTTTATATTGTTTATGAAAACATGAACAATTCTTGATATACTTTCACAAATGAAATATTGAAAGGGGAGACAAATTATTTTTGAATAATCAAAACCAAATTTGTTGATAAGAAAACTAATAAAATATTTAGTCTTTTTTGAAAATATTAATGTGGTTCGATATGTATTTAAAATTATTGTAAAGTACAAAAATATGTTTGCATAGTACATCTACACGTGGGTCGGGATCTTCTTGAATTGTAAATTAGTTGCATCTTCCTGCATATTGTTCATTTGGGAGTGTTACAATTTTCTATTTTATTCAAACATATATATTTTATTGATTGAAATCCTTCCAAACATGTGAGATTTGTAGAAGATTTTTAAAAGTAGTTTTCTTCCTATCACCTTTTAGTTAGGTAGACATGATGGATTGAATTGGAAAGATATTTCAAGAGTTCTGCGAAGAAAAGTATTGACGTTGAAATTATTCAAAGTAACATTAACAGATGTTGTGGAAGGGTGACACGTGGCCTGGTTTGCATCAGAGGTATAGAACGATTGCAAAACTGTTCTATTTTATTTCTTTTTCAAGATTTTGGTTTATTATTTTCCCAGTTACGTTATACACACAGATTCTCAAGAAAGCGAGAGAAACGTGAAGACAAGAAGGTGGACATTCTGGGGAAAAGACTAATGAGTGGGGAGCGTGATAAAAGAAAATTTCTAAATTCTAATTAATATATATTTAAAAATAGTTAGTTGTTAAACTTTTACTTTTAATATATTTAAAAGTTATTTATATGAAAATAAATATTTGTCTTGTACAATTCAGAAGCTAAAGCATAAAGTATATCATAAAAACAAAACAAACAGTAAATAAAGGAAGGACAATAATGAAATGGGTAGGACAGATTGGAAAGTAGAAATGGCCTACAAGCAATTGGTGGAGTCTTTCGATTAGTGAAGCAGCTGAAATTGCTTGTGGTCATATGGTGTGTGCTATAAATACCTAAATACATTGCACACTAATTGCTTTGACCAAAAACCATGAGGGGACCTCATTCATATAAATAATCTTTAACTATATACCTCATTTTTTTCACCTTTTATTTGTGTATGAATTGGAATTTTTTTATCATTAAGCTTCTTTACTGTTAAAAACCATAGCATTGGTAAATTTTTTTGCTTAAAACCATCAAAATCTTATTTTTCCTTAATTTTTTCAATTTATAAATTAAATTTTAGATGTATATTTTAAAAAAATAAAATCTCTTACTAAATCCTTTTGTTTCTTTCTTCAAATCTTTAATCTCATTAACTGTATAATTCATTAAATTTCATTAGAATTATATATATTAAAAATTCTAAAATTATTTATTATTAAATTAATTATAAAACCTTAAAAATATTTTAATCATTTAAAATATATAAACTAAAATAAAGTAATATTGATTCAAACAAATGTATAGAAAAACTAAGCATGTAATTAAACCTATAAAGTTATATAACGCGATATATAGCAGCAACGTGGTGTAGTTGCTTTTTATTTATATAGTTACTTAACCAGATGCGGTTCACTGTAACATGGTAGTGGGAACCAGATAAAAAGATCGGATAAGATAATTTTGTTGAAGATGCATGCTATTGCAAGCTAAGAAGCAAGAATGATAGAGAAATAATAGTATTATATTTCTTCTAGTGATTGGTTATTGGTGGTAATAGTAGCAATAATTGTTGGAAGAAGCTTAATTAAATGGTAAAAGTAGATATGAAAGGAGAGAAGGTGACGGTGATGGTGATAGGAAATCTAATGTTCTGTGGCAGACATGATAGTGTGCAGTGTCTTGTGTGGACTTGTCCTCCATCCCTTGGGTTCGTTTCTTGCAAGTTCAAACACGGCTTTGCTGCTTTTGTGGCCAAAGAGAAGGAGAGGAAGAGCTTTCAAACCGACCCGTGCCGCATTTGGTCACTATTGGTGACCGATTATAATTGGAGCTTGCCTTACGCTTTTATCCCTGCCCTCACCAGTCTTATTCCTACCACCGTCTTCTCCCCAAAAGGACTTTCTTTCACATCAAATGCTCTCCAATTTGTATACTTGCCTTTGAAGAAAGATAGAAGAAAAACGTGCTACATACTGGGATATTTTTAGATTCTTCCGTAGAAATTTTTTAAAGAGAGTTAGAAAGGAAAAAATATATGAACATTAATATCATTAATAAAAAAATTAACTTTATATTTTGAAGTGATAATAAGAACATTGAATTAATTTGATTTTTCATAAGTATAAATAAAATAAAATAAAAGAAAATTATAAAAAATTACAAGAAATATAATTATGTAAGTTTGGTTTAAAATCTAAACTGAGATTTAGATAAAAATTTAAGAAAAGTTGAGTTTGAATGGATTTTGATTTTTTTAATTACTTTTAATAAGCATAGGACAAAGAGAGGGAGGAAATATTAAACAAGATTAATGTAGTAGAATGTAACCGCTAAACCTAGATGGTTTAGATGTAAATAAAAATGCTCCACTTAAATCACATATAAGTAGTCTTTGGTGAAACAATAGGTGTTCATTTTTAATCTTTTTTTCCTTCTTTAATCATGCTACATCGATCATGTCTACGTTTTTAAACATTAATTGTTTTAAAACATAGATGTTAAATTATATAAAGCCATAGGAAGAAAATAGTAGTAACAACCATAGAAAAAAAAACTGACAATTGAACTAAAAGTTTTTTTTTTTTCAAACCATCAAAACTATTATTTCTCCATTTTCACAATAAAAATATGCAAACTGATGTTTTAAAATTCATACAAGAATCCAAACACACTCGTTGTGTTGCAACTAACATAATCAAATTATATATGTAATTAGCAAGGATTGTAAACTCTCGTAAAATAGGTTTTGCAATTAACAAGTATCAATATTTTATTATAAAAGTTGTGTAAAATCAACTCCCTTTATTTTTGTAACGCAACTTTTTATGGTGCGGTTTTGTGAATGAATAAAAATATATCTTTTGTGTATTGGATTGAATTATAGATTAATGAAACTATATTGAACATTTGAATTTATTTTTTTCAATTATATTACATATTTTAATATAAAACTTATAAATTAAAATTAATTTAATCATATATTTCAGTAACATTTAATTGTTTATATTAAATTTATTTTTTCGTAAAAACTATTCTGTTTAAAGAGTGACATGAGTCATGTGGACCATATATAGCCACGTGTCCTACTAGTAAATTTAGTGGGTCCTGTTTGGATATGAATAGCTGCCAAAATCGGAAAATAATGTAGTCAATATTCCATAATAGTCCTTGTAAACGTCAACCACGTGCCCCTGGACAAACTAGATTTTGGAATTATGTGATGACCATAACTAGGGTGTCAAAGTGAGCAAATCGGACAGCATGGGTTGAGCTGAAAATAGATGAATTAAATTTGGCTCACTGTGTCAGAAATTTTACAATCTGGCTTAACCCACTACGAGTTGGTGGATTAGATGGGTTGACTCATTAACTCATATTTTTTTAAAATAATATAAATATAATATATATATATATATATATATATATATATATATTTCCAAACTTTGGATGTAGAAATTTTTGCTTTTTTCCTTTTTTCTCAACATCAATATCTTCATTATTAACTGAAATTGGCTCATTGGGTTTTTCATTAACAATAAAATCATCACCAACATAATTCACATTGACACTTTGATGCATTGTTTCGATTCCATACTTGTAAATTAATTTGAAAGAAAGAAGTCAAAAATTCATATATTAAAGAGATATACATATAAATCAATAACAAACAACAAATAATGTATAGATGCTTACAGTGGGTACAAGTGATGTAGTGATACTGATGAAGATGAACATATGATAAGATAGTGCAGCGATAAACGTAGTGTTGTCGATAGAGTTTGACTTGTTGTGGCTAGTGACAATATAGGATAGAGATGAGGCAGGATAACATTTAGGGTTACTGAAGTATTATAATTGTTTTTAAAATTTAAAATATAACTATTAATTAAGGTTAATATATATTATAATTATTTTTAAAATTTAAAATTAATGGTCCAACCCACCATAACCCGGCTCGAACCCGTTTAACCCGTTGGTTAAGTGAGTCGGGTTCATTTTTAACCCATAATCGGTAGAAATAAAAAAAAATCAACCCAACCCGGCTCAAACCGGTGGTGAGCCGGGTTGGCTCACGGGTTAGAACCGATATTGACACCCCTAACCATAACATAATAAGTTCATTACTTCTTATTTTATTTGTCATTGTAAATAATATTTATATTTAATATATATATATATATATATATATAATATCAATTTTTATAATAAAAAATATGTAACTGAATCTACTTTATTTTATGAATGATTAATTACAATTAGGTAAATAGTTGTTGAAATATGTAATTAATTAAAGTTATATTATTAAATAATTATAATTAGACAGGTAACTATAGGAGAAAAACTATTTCCTTTACAATATTATAAATGCAAAAATATATGTTTTTAGAAATAATATTATATATATATATATATATATTTTTTTAAATATATATAATCAGTTTTTTTGTTTTATTAATTATTATTAAATGTTTAAAAATATTGTTCTTGATTCTAAAATAATAAGAAGAAGAAATTTATTGACTTTTTCTGTTTATTTTCAAGGGAAATAAGTATAATCAATGTTGTGTTCTGAAGAGTATTTTTGGTATTTAAGATATAATTGACATTATTAAAACTTAAATACCCTAGTGATATTAATAAGAAAGATGGAAAGATTCTGTTCATTATTTATCAAAGTGTTGATACAAATATCAGAAGGATATTACCATAACTAGTGTGGAGAAGCATAGCATTTTCTTACAAGATTCTGTGAAGATGTTAACAAATTAAAGAAGGTGAAGTTTCATACCATGAAGATACAATATAAGCTATTGTAAATGAATGATCAAAGTGTGACTGAATATTCACTAAATTTTGGAATCCACAAATTAAATAAAGAATTATGATAAAAAGATTAAAAATAGAACATAGGAGATAATCACATGAAGTTTAATCATCCAATAAATAAGTTAATTTTAAAGTCAATTATATTTAGAAATTGGACTTTTAAAATTTAAATTCAAATGGATAAACGTAAGTGTTTAACAAATATAATTATTGATAAGAATTGAATGTGACATGTAAATATGATAACTTTAGAAGTTTAACTAATATGAAAACCAGATAAATGGTGTACATGGTATATATGTCTATTATTGATATCTAAAACAAAATGTTTTGAATGTTATGGAAAAAAATAATTAAAAAACTCTTTTATATTAAATATAATATACAAACAAATAAAAGATAAATTATAAATAGTTTATTCCGATGTACATGGATCATTTAACGTATATTTTTTAGGAAAAAAAGGTATTTTATTTTTTTATTAATAAATTTAATTGAAAGACCTGTATCTATAGTTTATCAAATAAAAAAGTGAAGGGTTTGATAAATTTAAGAAGTTTAAGTTTTATAATTTTTAGGAAAAAAAGGTATTTTATTTTTTTTATTGATAAATTTAGTTGAAATACCTGTATCTAGTTTATCAAATAAAAAAGTGAAGGGTTTGATAAATTTAAGAAGTTTAAGTTGCTGCGTAAAAAACAAATTAGGAAAGTCCTGAACATTCTAAGATTTCACACAGGTGGACAATATAACATCAATAAATGTAAAAAATTATTGGATAAACAAAAAAGAGTATTTCATAAGACAATTGCATTGTATATATAATCAAAATATTATTACATTAATTGTATACATAATCAAAATATTACCGTAGAAAAGAGAAACATAAGTATTTTAATTCTTACAAATAAAATTTATATATGCGTTATGTCATTTTATTTTATATAAGGTTTGTTTTACATACTCATACATAATTTTATGTTTTAGATTATATATTCTTTTACATGAGATAGTGTGTGCAGAAAATTCAAAATTATTATTTTTTTAATTAACTATTTCTCTTTCTTTTACCTTGATCTATCTTTCCTGTTTTCACTTTTCAGGAACTAATATTAATATATAACTAAAAACGTGATAAAGCAAAAATACATTAAAAATTAATTATTTTTAGGAGATGTAGTGTTATATATATTCTAAAACAAAATCCTACAAAGAAATTAACTATAGGTATTAATATGATGATTTACGCGTGAATAGTTCAATTTTTGGTTTGTTGTGTTTTAATATGTTTAATCAATATAGGAAAAAAATGTAAGGATATAACAAAATTCATGATTCTCATTAGCTATCATATAACAACTACTTATTCAACATATTACAAAATCACTTACCATATTTTAATATGATTTAAAACCATGAGATAAGCATCTCATTCACTAAAAAAATTATGAAGTTTATTTTGATACAATGATCAACACAGAGGATAGTTAATAATTTTTATTTTATTTTCCATATTAGATGAATAAAGTATCTATTTGGGACAAAAAAATACATCAAAAACTTAAAACATGTTTTATTTCATAGCTATAACTCACATTACAAATATCAGAATCGAGTGTTATTAAAACGAGAAAAACAATGAGATTCTGATATGCAATTTTGGCATATTAAATATAAAAAATGATAAAGTAATTTAAGAAATATGAATATGACTTAATTTGATCCAAATAGGTAACAAAAAATGACCTAATTTGAAAATTTGAAGGAAAAATGATTATAAAACTTACAAAAATAAGATGATGACAACAAAAGTATTACAAAGTAAAAGTTTGATAAGTCGGATTAATCGTCACAAAAAATAACAAAATCCTTAATAAAATTATTGGTTCAAGCAAGAACAATAATAAATGATTTATCTCACGTCCCAAAAATATAAAAATAATATATGTTGTTTTATTCATTTTCAAAATTATAAATACAACAAGTTTTTATGCATCTCGGAAGCAAATAAAAGAAAATTAAAATTTTAATCAAGCTTGTATAACATGTATTATATGAAAATATAATTAAGCTTGAAGTTTAAGGTTCAAATCGACTTATGGACATTTTATATTTATGAAACAAATACTCATAATCAAAATTTAAACTAAATCCATACGAC